GGCAGCAGCTGCGGTCCACTCGCCAGTGGCAGGCTATGAGCGCGATGCTGCACTCACGACCAGCGGCCACTGTATCCGTAGCAGAGAGCGCACACTTCGCCAACTGGTGCTGCATCCACCGCGCCCGACCCCACCTCCTGCCTGTCGAGACGGTCAACGGTGCCAGGCCGTCCGAGCAGTGCCGCCGCTGAGACCTCCTCACGCACTGAACCGCCATCCAGATAGCCTTTGACTGCCTACGACGCGTGCCTGGTCAGCATGACACCATCGTCCCGGGAAAAAGGCGGCCGCCGGGCGGTGAAGTGACGCGACCGCCGGGCGGTGGTTGAGGCGGCCACCGGGCGGTAGGGTGACGCGGTCGCCAGGCGGTGGAGTGAGGCGGCCGACGGACGGCTGGGGTGACGCGGCCGCCGGGCGGTGGGGTGACACAGCCGCCGGGCGGCGGGGTGACACGGCCGCGGGTGGCGGGGTGACACAGCCGCGGGCGGTGGGGTGAGGCGGCCGCCGGACGGTGGGGTGGCGCGGCCGCCGGGCGGTGGGTGAAGAGACCGCCGGGCGGTAGGTGAAACGGCCGCCGGGCGGTGGAGTAACGCAGCCGTCGGGCGGTGGGTGAGGCGGCCGCCGGGCACATCTCCTGACGTCGGCAGACCAGGTGGTTGCCGTGGACGCCGTCGCGAGCTTCGACAACCGACTCCCGTCGGACCAAGAAGGAAAAGCACACGGAGCTTGCAAAGCAGCTGGAGGGGCTCTTTAGTCGTATCAGTGTGGAGCCGCTGATAATGGGATCCCTGGGCTAGAGCATTCCAGATACCCGCCAACGTTGACAGCAGCGTGCCGACCCGCGGTCCCGGGAGGCACGACTAGACTCACTGACTACGATGGCCGGGGCCCATCCCTGTCCACATTCTCCGCCGCACGCGGTGAGCGCAGGCACCAGACGAGCAGCGCGCCGGCTGCGGTGGGTCGGAGGTGGCGGGTGGCGCGCATCGGCACCGGACCCCGCGGCAGCCGTGTGAGGTGGTCACACGGACGCATCATGAACCCAGGAACGACGGCGGACTGGTCGGACCGGATGGGCGTCGACACAGTGCGTCGGAGGCGGCGGGTCGGCCGACGGCGAGCACGGCGTGTCGGCCGGCCAGTCAGCGGAGGCCAGGGACGGCGTGTCTGACGGCGGCAGTGGCAGAGACGCCTCGGGTGACGGCGAAGGCGTGCCGCTCTACGGACGAGGCAGATGAAGCCATGTGGGCGACAGCTGGGGTGTGCACGGCGGCGGTGGCAAAGACAGGAGCGCAGATGTGCCCGAGGGCAGCGGCGTGTCTGGCGGAGACCGCAGCGAGGCGCGGATCGCGCAGCGGTAGCCAAGGCACGCTGGGCGACCACAGCGACAGACACGGTCGATGACTGGAGACCCTGGTCGACCGGCACACGACAGCGGCGTGGCCAGTGTCCCACACGGGCGGACCATATGGTCGTGACCCAGACAGTCGATGACTCAGCGATGGGACCCTTCCCGCAGCAGACCGGTACGCAGCTAGCTGGCGGAGGACATCTGCCACCATCGCTCCATCGCACCATCTGCTCCATCGCACCATCTGCATCATCTGCTCCCGTCGCTCCAGACCCAGTCCCGGGAGGCCACCGGTGTCGTGGTAGAGAAGTCAGCAAACAACTTTATCCCAGCGGTACCGTGCGGCAGTGTACTAAACGCTCACGTAACGTCAAGAGCCCTCGCCCCGGCTGACCAGATGTCATCGCCATCATTCCCCTTTCAGAAGCAGCATGCAGCAAAGCAAGCAACAGCACCCTGTGCCATTTAATGTCGTGAACGTTTTACCCACGCAATGTGATTCTCTAACGACGTGAGAACGCGCCAAGATGGACGCGACTGCATTTGCAAAAAACACAGTTGGCGACACGCGTGTACGAGCGGGAGACAGCGGGAGACAAGACCAGCCTCAGGGCCATGGCATTACCACAGCCACCACAGGTTCACTTGCAGGGTTTCATTTTTGCATGTGCATTTTTGTCTCCTGAGCTGTTGCACTTCAATCAAATTGTCCTAACACAATTTGTGATACAGACCACCCAATGTTCATTGGTTCTCAAAAAAGGTCTCCTCTTTTAATGGAAAGAACCACAATGCACTAGGTGTACACCTTGAAGTATATGATTCAAGTGTGGTACATAATGCTTTGCTCTAATTATGCTCTAGTTGAATAAGCAGGCACATACAGTGTCATTGTATTTTTGGCTGCAACAACCATTTTGGACCATGACTGAATTCATCCAGGACATAGAAGTGGCCAGTATATTTCAAAACTTTTATCAGTTTTGGCACTGTTAAGGGGATAGCAAACACTTGTACTTGAGATGTATCCATGTCCATAACAAACAAGATATCAATCAAAAATCCAAGGCATGACCATTCTGAAACCTGGTATGTCATGGAAAATGTTGCAATCTTCACTACTTACCAAAATATCCCTAACAAAAAGTCAGTGGAGACATGACTGAGAAAGTAAACAGCAATGGGGCATGTGGTCCTAATGTCACACATATGTGCCCAAACCATCTGAGGCATATGGTCCTAATGGCATTCATATGTGTCCAAACTATCAGTGAAACTAGAGCACAGATGGCTCTACCAGAACAATTGCTTTTCAGAAGATTCCTGGATCCTGGCAATGTTAAAGATGAGTGGAAGACAGCAAATATGCTACCTTGTAAAAAAACAATGCTATATGCATTCAGGAAACACTAGGCCAGAGAGCCTAATTTTGCTGATAAGCAAAGTTTTGGAAATTATCATCACATAACAGTTTGCATCATTTTCTTCAAATTAAGCAGCCATTCACGGAATGCAGCAGTTAACTTCCCTCAGGGTGAAGGTGACTGCTGCAATAGCATCCTGGACTTTCAGGGTGGGTTTCCAAAGTCATGTTCAAAAATGAAGTTGAATATATTTTCATACTGATTTGAGCATATCTCCCAAAAGCACATCTCATGTAAGACTCAACAATGACCTAAAACTACATGTGATTTTCATGAGCTTGAATGTTGATTTAGCAGTACAAGGCAGAATTATGTCAATGGTGGGGACAAAGTTCATGGTGTCAAAAAATTAACAGATGACAAAGCTTAAAGGACTTGTTTGTTCTACTAGCAGAGAAACACTTGGAACATTTGCATGAAAGCCCAACTGCTTGGGCAAAATGTTCAAACATTCAATAACTATTTTAACTACAAGAAATGCAGTTCTCCATAGTGACAGAGCAGGTTTGTATTTCTGATACCAGATTGAGAAGGCGGGCAACAACTAGCAAGTGACTAATAATGATGCAATACAATAATGCATTTGAAAAATGGGCTATCCACCTTAAACCTAAATTATTTCCAGCATTTGCACTAGTTTAGCCCAACCACATGCTTTGAGTTGTTGTCCTAACCTGCCACTCTTGTTTAGTTGATGTTGCTTCTTATGCTTCACATGATGCAGTGTGTGATGCTTTTTTAACTGTGCTGCAAGTTGTAATTAAAGTAAATACCTAAAGACAAAATTTAGAAGAGTAATTACTTGCTGTTTTTATGATATGCACACCCTTGCATGAACATATTTTCCTAAATTATCATATAGTAACTATGGCAGACCAACATAAGGATTATCAAATGCATCCACTAAGTGAGTTCTGTTACAGCCACGTGATGCATAGCTAACAACACATCTTGCACAAAGCACAGGACTTTTATAAGCACCTGAATAAAAGCATCGTCACTAACCAAATACAGCTGCCAATATCCCTGTTTTACGCCTAACCCTTACCCAGCCTAACTTTCTTCTTGCTGCTAGAACAGGTGGCTTAACCCTAAGCTCAGTGACTTCTTGACCTTTCAGCTGACCTCTCTACCATAACTTGATCAGCCCCATCTTTGAGAGTTGCCACATATTGCAAACATCACTGAGATGACATTGAATTAATTCATTTTGAAGAATAAGATAACAAACAATATATATATATATATATATATAGACATATATATGTATATATACACTTATGATTTATATATACAGTGTAAGTGGTCTTGAATGTGTGCATGCTACTGACTGTGTTCAGGTACTTCCATGTCCTGTTCCATGATAGAGCTATGTAGCTCATTGTTCAGAATACATATTCAGGAAATCAAGTTTTGAGGTAAGTTAGTTCCAACAATAGCACCAAAAACAGGAAATTTCACCTCACAATCGTTTAATCAATCTGTCGAGTGTTCAGGTGCGACCGCTGTCCTACCACACAATTCTGCGCAAAACAAATCAGCAACACGCTAGATGACAAATTGAGGCCGGACTCTCCCATCTCGCTTCTAAGATACGGCAGAACGGCAAGAACTTCTAAGGATACGGCAGAAAAGAACGCCGGCACACACCTCCACCACACTCACCTTCCTTCCTCTCCTCAAGTACCAAATAATTTTAAGCCTTACCCAGGGCCTGATCTATTGCGCAGGACGGGCCGCGCTAATCCGGCCTGAGATGTCGCGCACCGTACGCGTCATAAGACTCTATTGCGTCATAAACGAAAGCGTCTGAGCCTACCATATCAGGGCCCCAATATGGTAGCGTTAGTAATTTTCCCCTAGTTTCCTTTAGCTTGGAACTTCTTTGAATACCCGTTGAATGTTGATCACTCTGATATTACCTAAACATACATTTTTCTCCATTTAACACAATAATCTATCCAAAAAGTAAAAAAACACGGTTATGACAATCATGCTCATCTTTCTTTTACTGACCTTCTCTAGACTTGTTTTTCACAAAATATTGATGTTGGTGTGCAGCTTATTTCGTACTCGCCATTTCATGTTTCTGTTTAGAGGGAGAAAAATTAAATTTAAAAAATTTTCAACGTTTTTTTTAAAACGATGAGCCCTTTTGAGCACATGCACACTTGACCTGTAAATTTGTCCAAAAAAGTATGCATTCAGCGCATTTGTTATTGTTTTTGGCAACGCGGCATGTCCTTTCCGTAGGCGCCGCAACCATGGTGAGTGGTGAGATAATCTATTGTGCATTTATTCATGCAGCCGACCGTCGTTTTGTCTTCTGAGTGTTCTGTTGACTGCGTTTAATATTTTGAATGATTCTTTTAAGCCCGTGGACGTGGGGATTGGCGGTGGAGTTGTACTTTGGGGGAATAGCTTGCGGGCACAGCCTGGATGTGTCGGCCAAACATGAGTTTGGGCATTCAAAACATAGGTATGCCTATGCAATTGCATGTTAATGGTATCAAAATCCTGTGCTGATCCGTGGCTCAAAGCCAGCATTGTTAATTACATAGATGTCAGCCAGTGTCAGGTATGCTGGTTCTCTGAATGGGGAATGCTTAAGTACTCACTAATGCAATCTTTGGGTAAACATCACATTCATTTGAGGTTCTCTGGGCATATTTGCAGTGCACCAGGATTTTTCTTTAATATGTGTGGTTACGAAATTTTTGAATACTTTCCAAGTGGTTTTCTATTTACATTTCAGGACATTGTAGCAAGACAGTGGGATGAGTGGGCCACAATTGTTCCTTACAATAGTCATTGTGTATATTGATGTTTATGCAGAATGTCAGTCATTTACTCAAATCTGATAATGTGACCAACAAATAAATTTCTGTATCTGGCTGAGATTATATTTGTTGAATGTATGGGGCATGACATAAATACATGTATTATGTGTTGTTGGTGTATTGGGAATATGCCCATTAATATGGGGTCCAACTACTTGAGTTTTTCAGCTGTGGCATACAGAAGTATAGGGTCATTGTTGCATTAACTAAGCAGATTATATTTTCCTACACATACCAATCTGTAGAAGGGGGCAGACAGAGCAAGGTGTTGAAATAGCCCAGATCCTGCCATAAATAGGGTGATAAGCTTTGCTTTGGCACATGGGCTGATCTTATGACTGACATGGCTTGTTTCCCAAGATTTTCATGTTTACTGGAATTGCATTGTGATATAGAAATTGCTGTATGTGCTAGAGCAACTAGGGTGGACCTGAGGCTGGGAGATTATGTGAAGCTGGGGTGTGTGGTGGACAGGGCCATTTACTCCACTGAACAGGCCCTGCCAACACTTGTGAAATATGCCTGCTTTTTATTACCACTACTGTGAAATCAGGGTAAGGATCCAAAAAGACAGTGACTGGTATGTGCTATTTTGCATTATATCTCAAGCATGGGAAATATATCTGCCATTCATTATTGCTACTATGATGTCGAAGAAAGGTTCTGAAAGGGGCACTGACTGGTATATGACAGTTTGTGTTATATCTCTCATAATATGTTCGAAATCTACCTGTTTTGAATTTTTACTTCTGTGATATCAAGGAAAGCTTTTTAAAGGACCCTGACTGGTATATGACATTTTGCATTACACCTCTGTTGTGATATACATGCACAGTACTTAAAGGGGACATAATGGCCAAGAGTTTGGCTGCTTTGACACCTTTGGCTGCTTTGGGGGGCAGGGGGGGGGGGGGGTTAAGGGGCTGGTTCAAATCCCAGTGCTTCAGATTAAACTTCAGGAGTTAATATGACCTATGCAGTTACTGTTTCTCCTTCAAGATTGGTTGGCTGCTGGTGTTAGGTTTCCTTATACAACTACTGAAAATTGCACTCAGTTATGTTGCAAGTATGAACAAAAAAGTCTAGCTAAAAAAACTCCTGGCTTTGAATCACCACCATGCCTGGAATGTAGATGCAGCAGCCTGGCCTATATTTTAAGAGAAAGCTGTACAGCTGCCAAGAGCTGTAGACTCCAATCTTGCACAGCATTTCCCACCAATTAGTAGATCTTTGGCTAGAGTGCATGTACCTGCAGCTGTTCGCAGGACCAGACAGGATGATGTAGCAGCATTTAACTCAACTATGCTGCAGTGACAAATGTTTCAATAACATATGACTGTGGGACTGTCTTGCTCCTATAAACTGTCATTCCTTTGGTTGTTGGCAATGCCACTGTCATTTTGATGTTCTGCCTGACCTTTGCACAGTTTGATGCTTGTCCCAAGGTATAATAAGCTGCCTCTTAAATCAATTAATACCATGTTCTAACAATTGCCCTCAAATTCTACTTTCGGGGATTGGTTGGGTCATGTAAAGATTTATAATGCATAGAATGCTGGTGCAATTGGTTCCCAAGTAACTGATTTTCAATTAAAAATAAATATTAGATTCTATATGATTTGGCCCCAGCTGAATTTGGCACATATGTATGATGTTTAAAGCCACACATGTTTAGTGCAATTGGTGGATTTTTACAGATAAGGCAGGCATACATGGCAGTTCAGGCCACTCCATTGCATTATTTTGCAGACAATGTGTGATCTAATGATTTGGCTCTGGCTTGAGGGCCTTAAGTCTATAACCTGTTTAAAATGACCTTGATGGTCCATGGCTGTGTCAAGCTAAGCATGGAAATAAACACTTGTGTTTTTCTTAGAGTGCATTTTGCACCTTACAGGAGGGGCTTTGTGCTGCAGTTTACATTGCAGTAAACCCTGGATTGAAACTACTGTGTGTGTATCCCATCACAGCAGCCTGACCTGGCATCAGATGTGCTTTTTCCAGTTTGGTTAGCTTTAAAAAAACAGATTTGAGGTACAACAATGTTAGCTGTTGGACAGTTTCAGCTCCTAAGGCAAAGGAAATATAGCATGTGATAGCACCCTGACATTCCATCTTGTTACAGGCGAGAGGACCGAAGAAGCACTTGAAGCGTTTAAATGCCCCCAAGGCATGGATGCTGGGGAAGCTTGGGGGGCCGTTCGCGCCGCGCCCGAGTTGCGGTCCCCACAAGCTGCGGGAGTCGCTCCCGCTCGTGATCTTCCTTAGAAACCGGCTCAAGTATGCCCTGAATGGCACCGAGGTCAAGAAGATCCTCATGCAGAGATTTGTCAAGGTCGATGGCAAGGTGCGCACTGATGCCACATACCCGTCTGGGTTCATGGGTGAGTTATATTGTGGGAGTGGGTGTCAGCTGGTAGAAGTGTATGATGACTTATGTCATGTCTGTGTTCTCATTTCCTGTTACTGTATTCAAAATAACTTCTTGATACCTTGGCACATGTTGTCTCCTTATTGCTCATGTTATGTACAATGATGAAAGTTGTGAGTCAGGGCATGAATGTAGTGGGCATCTCCAAAGTAACTTTGTTCATTGCAAGTTGGATATTATTGGAACCATGATAGGGAAGCTTACCTGTAATGCTGCAAAACAAGTTTTGTGAAATGAAGTTTGTGGAAATTTTCACCAATGGTCTAGCGCGCAAGCTAGGACGGGCGCATATTGGTATGGTAGAAATTTTTACCAATGGTCAAGGGACCGAGCTGGAGCAGTTGCACATTGGCTTCCAATGATGGTTTTGGTGGTAATGCTTTCCATGTGTCAGTTTTTTTAGCTGTATATTTTGGCAGTGCCAGGGTAGTCAACATTCAGGTGGAAACCACACTTCCTTTCCTCTTATCACGATTACAGATGTATGTGCGGTGCTGGTGCCACATTTTCATTGCTGGACTGTGATTGTGTGATGCAGTAGGTTCTTTGTGATAAAGCTGCCCCCCCCCCCCCTCCCCTGCTCCCCCCATGTGATGAACATATCACCACAGCAGCAGAATACTTCATAATGCTCAAGTGACACAACTGGCCAAAGTCTGAACTGTTTGGAAAGACATGTAAATCACCTATTTGTGTAGCAGGTCTTTTCCATCAAGTTGTTTAGGTGAATTGTTGAAAAACTAGAAAAGAAAGTATGGGACTAATATAATTGTCATGCCTCTTGGACTAGACACTGCATCACGTTTCATCCCACCCAGGGCTGGGTAGGCATTGACTGGAGTTTGTTCACAGATGTCATCTCCATCGAAAAGACCGGCGAGAACTTCCGTCTGATCTACGACGTCAAGGGCCGGTTCACCGTGCACCGCATCACGAAGGAGGAGGCTTCGGTGAGATCATTAGGGCTCCTCGTTAGTGCTTATTAGCATTTGTGACAGATCTGAACCTACCTGTGGCAACGCTGCACTCAGCATCAGTGTGTAGTTCATATGAAATGTGTAGTTGATACAGGGTGCATTATGTGCCATGTCTTTAGCTGCTCTTAGTTTTTTTTACATACATTGGAGGCATGATTGAGTCATTGATATGACTGGATGTTGTAAAGCTCCACATGCCAGTGTTATAATGCTTAGATTTTGGTGTTCCAAGTCAGACACTCCCTGGAAAAATAGTTGTTTTATCTGTAACATGTCTCTTTTGTCAGGAAGTGATACCTAGGTAAAGCCTTTTGTTGCTGTAAGTCAGTCACCTTAAGGGATATGATAACCAAGCAACATGCTTACACTAGCATTGCGTGCACAGTTGGTCAGCCTAGGAGAGCAACCCCTCCTGTCAGATGTCAGAGCCTGTTCTCTTGCTTGTAAGGTGTCTGACTGAAAGGTGTGCTTCGGGCAGAGGATGGAATGAGGCCCAATTCATGACAATTATGATAGGTTTGGTGGGATCATTTGTCTCCATGGGTTTTGTGTGCCAATAAAGCTTTTATCTCACTTAATTCAGTGCATTCTGCAGTTTGGTGCATTCCCTTAACAATATTTACTGTGGGTATGTTTTAACAGAATGTTTTGTGGAAAGCAGCAAGGCTGCAGCTGCCTTTTATGATTGGGAAAAATGGATTCATGTTTTTGGTATGTTTTGTATGCAGTTGTGTTGCTTAGTACAAATCTACCAGGCGCCCACTTGCTTCTGCTGCAGCTGGCTTCTCCCAATGAATGTCTTTCTCCCTAGACATGCAGTGATATGAACTCATGCTCATTTGGCATCCAGACTTTGTTAACCACTCATTTGCACTCTGCAGTATGCCAGCTAAGGTCATATTCATCTTGTTCATGTTGTCAAGTTTGTGTGTTTAGTCACTCGCAAGACGCCCTATTTCGCGTGACATTGGCCGTGTTGAAAACGTGGATGAGATGCCCTTTCCACCCATGTTCTCCCACGGCAACAGGGAATGGTGACCATAACCAAGTGATGTGTTTTCGTGAGCACTACACTCCTAATTGGTCGCACATGATCAGAGGCTAAAGCCCGCGGTGTATAAGCCGGTGGTAAAGCCCGTCTGCGTGTGCGCGTCCGCTGACGTAAGGTGTTCCGCCGCGCCCACAGTACAAGCTGTGCCGGGTGAAGGCGCTGAAGATCGGCGTGAAGGGGATCCCGCACCTGCTGACGCACGACGGCCGCACCGTTCGCTACCCCGACCCCAACATCAAGGTCAGCGACACCATCCAGCTGGACCTGGCCACCTCCAAGATCAAGGACTATTTGAAATTCGACACCGGTGAGTGGTCTGTGGATCTGTCGTTGGTGATCTGGTCCGATGAACGTCACGTGCCGCGGGGTCTGGGCGCCGGTTTTCGCGGACCAAATTCTGCCTGTCATCACAGTCATCCACACATCAGTACCCACTGGTGTTTTCTCAGACGTTCATGGCGAAATGCATGCGTCGTGGGTTCTTTTTTCGGAAACTTTTCTCGCTGTAGCGTCATGGATCTTTTTTCGGAAACGGTTTTCTGTACTGACAACGCTAGCTAAACGCCAGATCGAAGACACGTAACCATGTCCCGTTTGGTTGCGTGTTCAAAATCTAGGCCACAGGAATGGCTCTCCAACGGTCGCTGGCTATGGTATTACTGCCAAGTCCGCATTACCAATGGAGAGTACATCTGTTGTGCTAGCATTGATATCCATGTCCGTTTTGGGCTCAAAGTGACAAACAGTTGGCGCGTCCCAAAACCACTGTTCAACAAGAAAATGTATTACCTTTAGGTGTGAACCACTGGTGTGAATTATTGATGCCTGCTTCCATACTTGTGATGATAGGTATGGCAGCATATGACGTCCATGTGCGTCTGTCTTTTGCATTAATACTGATGTATAAGTTGCATATGGCCTGGCGTAGTTGGGAGGGCGTTCGCCTCGTGGCCACGTCCGACCACGGCTCATATCGTGTGGTTGTAGCCAGGCGTAGTTGGGAGGGCGTTCGCCTCTGTGGCACGTCCGACACCGGCTCATATCGTGTGGTGAGCCAGGCGTAGTTGGAGGGGCGTTCGCCTCGTTACCACGTCCGACAACGGCTCATATCGGGTGGGTTTTAGCCAGCGTAGTTGGAGGTGGCGTTCGCCTCGTGGCCACGTCCGACCACGGCTCATATCGTGTGGTTGTAGCCAGGCGTAGTTGGGAGGGCGTTCGCCTCGTGGCCACGTCCGACCACGGCTCATATCGTGTGGTTGTAGCCAGGCGTAGTTGGGAGGGCGTTCGCCTCGTGGCCACGTCCGACCACGGCTCATATCGTGGGGTTGGAGCCTGGCGTAGTTGGGAGGGCGTTCGCCTCGTGACCACGTCCGACCACGGCTCATATCTTGGGGTTGGAGCCTGGCGTAGTTCGGAGGGCGTTCGCCTCGTGACCACGTCCGACCACGGCTCATATCGTGGGGTTGGAGCCTGGCGTAGTTGGGAGGGCGTTCGCCTCGTGACCACGTCCGACCACGGCTCATATCGTGGGGTTGTAGCCAGGCGTAGTTCGGAGGGCGTTCGCCTCGTGACCACGCTCGACCACGGCTCATATCGTGGGGTTGTAGCCAGGCGTAGTTGGGAGGGCGTTCGCCTCGTGACCACGTCCGACCACGGCTCATATCGTGGGGTTGTAGCCTGGCGTAATTGGGAGGGCGCTCTCCTCGTGACCACGTCCGACCACGGCTCATATCTTGGGGTTGTAGCCAGGCGTAGTTGGGAGGGCGTTCGCCTCGTGACCACGTCCGACCACGGCTCATATCGTGGGGTTGTAGCCTGGCGTAATTGGGAGGGCGCTCTCCTCGTGACCACGTCCGACCACGGCTCGTGTCGTGGGGTTGGGGCCAGGCGTAGTTGGGAGGGCGTTCGCCTCGTGACCACGCTCGACCACGGCTCATATCGTGGGGTTGGGGCCAGGCGTAGTTGGGAGGGCGTTCGCCTCGTGACCACGTCCGACCACGGCTCATATCGTGGGGTTGGGGCCAGGCGTAGTTGGGAGGGCGCTCTCCTCGTGACCACGTCCGACCACGGCTCATATCGTGTGGTTGTAGCCAGGCGTAGTTGGGAGGGCGTTCGCCTCGTGACCACGTCCGACCACGGCTCATATCGTGGGGTTGGAGCCTGGCCCCATTTGAGAGGGCGTTTGCCCGTGGCCATGCCTGGTCAGACTCATGTCATGGAGCTAGAGCCTTGCTCCCGGCCATCAGTCGTGCCCCGCGCCAAGCAGCGTGGGGGATCGGATGCCAAACCATCTGCCGTGTGGAGTGCGCCCCCCCCCCCCCCCTCAATCAGAGCAATGGTCGGATGTCTTAGTTTTATGCAAAAGATACCCAATCCATTTGAAAACTGCGATTTGTTAGCAACCAAACATTGGGGAACCATTCCGAGTTACTGAAGCTCTGGAATAAGAATGTTGGCTCATCTTAAAAACTGGCACCGTGTCGTGATGTTGCGAGGTTTTGTCGATGGTAAATATTTAGAAGGTGGTCAAAGGATGCGGAATGTGAAACATTACTGCAGGCTTCCGAGAGCTTGTGAAACTTGCGCAATTGCTTTCATCCACTCAAACCTGGTTTTTCTTCACCCATTAACCTGCAACCAGAAGGACCTTATCCCAGCGACACACAGCTAGGCGTTAACACTAGAAATCATAAACGCAAGTGGCGGCACTGAATGCTAAGGGACGGAAGTGAACACAAAAAAAATGACGAGGCTGCAAAGCCGGAGAGTGCGCTGTCAGCATTTCTGTCATACCACGATAATGCCAGATCGAAGACACGTAACCATGTCCCTTGTGGGTGCGTGTTCAAAGTCTAGGCTACAGAAATTGCTCTCCAACGGTCGCTGGCTATGTTATTGCTGCCAAGTCCGCATTACCAATGGAAAGAACATTTACTGTGATCATAATGTTTTCCAATATTGTGACTTGGTTTGTGTCTTAGATAAGTTTGGGCTTTGTTACTTTGAAGGAAGCTTTCGCCGACATTTCCCCGTGCTATGTCCGCTGGAGTTAGTGCTTTTACTTTTACATTCTTGTTATCAAAGTGTGTTTAATTCCACATCAGTTGGTAAGTGATGAATTGGTCACGAAATAAGTGTCAGATGACAAAGGCAGATGGCGTGCTTTACGGCCACCATCACAGTTATGAACGAGACGTCATCGTGTCCAGGGCACGAGCGGGAATTATCTTAGCAGCGTATTATTAGTAAGCATTTACCAGCTTCCCAGATTGCTCGAACGTGGTCACGTCCAACACTGGGTAAATTTTCGGCAACTGGTGCTGCGCAAACAGCTTACGCAGTGCCTTGGGCAGCTCGCACGCTCACGAAGAGGTCCCAGCACAGGCCTGTGACGATACCGCAAGTCCCATTGCTACGAAAACTGGCGCATGATGAAGACAGGACGAGATATGAATGGCTAGTAGGGCGTCAAGCAGCTTACGAAACCGTCATAAAAAACGGCACGCATTCATCTACGCTGTCTGTGGTTCTGACACGTGTTAACGCCAGATCGAAGACACGTAACCATGTCTCATGTGGGTGCGTGTTCAAAATCTAGGCCACAGAAATTGCTCTCCAACGGTCGCTGGCTATGGTATTGCTGCCAAGTCCGCATTACCAATGGAAAGAACATCCACTGTGATCGTAGCGTTCTCTGAGAACTACTGAGAACTGAGAACCTGTCGGTGCAAATTAGCCAACGGTTCCCGTGCTGAGCAGAAACAGTGACATGGTGTGGTGCTGGAGAAGGATAAGTTCCTCATCACCATGATAATGCTTTGTGCCTGATTGGTTGCAGCTGGCGACATATTGTGCAGAGCGGCTATGCGTTAGTGGGTTCAGTGTCACCAGGCCCGGCTGCACCAGCGCGTGTATCAGCACCGTGTGACCGGTGGGTGTGCTCCCCTCAGGCAACCTGTGCATGATCACCGGCGGCCGTAACTTGGGTCGCGTCGGCACCATCATCCACCGCGAGCGCCACCCGGGCTCGTTCGACATCGTGCACGTCAAGGATACGGCCGGACACAAGTTCGCCACCAGGTGAGACCAGCGGCACCCGCCGCGCTCAGGGCATGTAAACATCCGGCGAAAGGAGCAAGGCTTAGGGCTCATGTAAGAAAGGCCTCCAGGTCCTATTTCTCTCGCCATTATGAGTTGAAAGCTCCTCCGTTGAGTTAATTACTTTCAATATGCCAGGGGGTACTAGTTAAACCACGGTGTAATGCTAAGTAACAATTGTTCCGATGTTTCTCAATTTTCGAGGTGTGCGCGTCAGGAGTGACCTGGGCTCATAAAGGCCAGCAAAATATTACACTTAAAAATAAGACATGAAGCCAGAAAATGTTCCAAATCTGCACACACACACTGCTGTTAGAAGGTTTTTCAGAAGTTTAAATCCAATCTACCAACACGCATACAGTTCAACATTAAAGGCTGCGAAAAATAGCACGGGTGGCTGAGCCGGAATTGAAGGTCGTCAACTCAACATAGAAATAAGAGCTCCAGGTAGAACTCAACTTAGCCTAAGAACAGACCTTGGTAGTTGTGGTAGTAATGGTAGTTAGGTGTTTTCCCTGCTCCAAATACTTTCGAACGCGCTCAAATTTACATTTGCCCGCAGCTTTATTTGTCACTGTCATTGGGGAGATAACACTTTAGGAAAACATTTTCAGACGCCATTCTGTGAGATGGCCTATACCTTGGTACCGATCCAGACCATAAGAGTACGGCTGAGGCGTAACATGATATTTATCATTAGGAGCTCAACGGCATACTAGCGCCGCAATGGCAACAAAACCGCCCGCGGACGACTCGACTGGCCTCAGATTTATAATGTTGGTTGATTTATCAAAGTTGATGTCGGCACAGTCTTGTTCAGTGGAAAGAAGCTCGATCAGAAACCATTTAACAACTTGGAACCGTGGCCGTTACACGACAGACTCTCCTATAGCGTTGTCAGGTCGTGTGCGGCCGTCTCCAAGATGTTCGTAGAACCGATTCCTGGCATCTGTCGCACCGTCACACTGCCGCACTCACGTCAGGTGGCGCCACCTACATCCGCCGCCGGGCCCCGCTGACAGTGTGTGGTTTTCAGGCTGCACAACGTGTTCGTGATCGGCAAGGGCACCCGGGCGTACGTGTCGCTGCCCAAGGGCAAGGGTGTGAAGCTCTCGATCGCCGAGGAGCGGGACAAGAGGCTGGCGCAGAAGAACTGAGCCGCTGTCCGCCCGCCGCCACATCGTATGGGCTAATACACTGCTGAAAGGAGCCCACTTCTCTGTTTCCCTGCGCTGCATGGAGTCTGAAAGAGCGGGTGGTGCGAAGGTGGTTGATAGAGATGTGCGGGGACGGTAATGCCGTTCTAGACAATTGCTTGATGGGGTTAAGAAGACTTCGGTGCAGAAATGGGGGTGGGACTGTGGTGGTCGAAGGAGATAGTGCGCTGCGTGGTTGCTCAGCGGCAAAAATTCCGTGCATTTGTCTCACGAGTAAACGCTGGATGCATGAGTTTTTGCGCACGCAGTTCTACCGGTAAGGGTCATGTTGAATATCCCTTTTATTCCCCCTCAAAGAAGCGTGGGCGAGACGGATACATGCGCTCAGCTGTTGGACGAGTGAAGCGCTTCTGCGAACACGCCTTTCTGGCAAAACATCGGTCTCCGTATGTCGTGAGGGTTCACCTACAAGCAGTTACATTGTGGCTGATACGTCGCTTGGACAGTGCATACATTTTGAGCATGCTTTACATCGGGGGTGATTGATAAGTAGCCCATCAACAATCCAGTTCTCAGAAACGGCGTTGCGTGTAAAAAGTCTCGCTGTAGCTGGGAGTGGGACAATAAGAGAGAGGATAGCAATGTCGGCAACACCTGGGGCATAATGTACCCCTGGTGCCAGCCTTATGAGTTGCATCGCATGTAGCGCTCTGGTGTCGGCCGAACTGCGTTTCCAGCGGCCGGTCGTCATGGCAACGACAGCGCGATAAGCTGGCCTGGTGGGCAACCTGAGCAGGTGATCCCGGCCTAGGCTGCAAAACACTAACTGGAGCAGCTGAGAACAGCGCCAATCAAGAAGCCAACGCTATTCTAGGTACACTCCGTGTTCTAAACATACTCGTGAACGGACAAATCGGGGCGTACTGGTGGGTGACTGGCTTCTGCTCCGACGTGGAGACCGGGTACGGACTCCGGGCGCGCGGCGGTCTCGGCGCCAATACGGCGTCACTGGTCACAGCGCTCCATAAAAGGGTGGTCACGCTCCCTTTTCCAAAGAATAAATACTTGAAAGTTGTGTACACAGAAAGTTCAAAAGGCTTCAGTTCTGTCAGGAATCACAAGCACACGGCAATTTGATGTGGGCTCGTTTATGCACTCAAGAATAGTGCACTCAAATAATCCCGTATTCATCTCAACAAGTCACCTTTCATGACGTTTCTGATATTCACCAATCATGACGTTCTAAGGATCGTTCAGTGCAGTTCACACCCAGCCCGTTTTAAGACTTAAAACTCTGGGTTCTGATCTTGGCCCCCGCGGGCTTCTGCAGACTATTTCATTGTTACCTAGGCACGCATGACGTCATATAATTGCCACACGAACACCACTACTTCATTGGACATGTGCTCAACGCCAAGACAATCGAATCGATCATCGAATATATCGTGTCTGGCGTACGGTAGCACGATTGCAGGCGCCATCGGCCTCCAGTTGGTTCTCAATCGACTAAGTGCGTTCAGTGCAGGGGTGTAACTTCGCGTTTTTCATGGGGGGAGGTGGTCGAATCCATAAACTTTACACACCGTATTTCTGAGGCACGTTTCCCCACGAATTTTGTCTACCTAACTCTGCGGTCATAATCTGATAAAGAATGCAATGGTAACAAAGTCGCCTGCAGACAACTCGACTGGCTTCAAATTTATGATGGTCTATTCATTTATTTTGTTGTCGGCACAGTCTTGTTCAGTGGAAAGAAGCACAATCAGAAAGCAATTCAAAACTTGGAACCGTTTCCGTTGCACATTTCCTCCTATAGCGGTGCCCAGTCGACGCATGCGGCCGTCTTTACGATGTCCCTTGCTCCGATTCGTGGCAAATCTGGTCCCGTCACATTGCCGCGCTCACGTCAGGTGGCGCCATCTTTATTCGCAGCGGGGTCCCGCTGACGGTGTCCGGTTTGTGTCCCTTCAGCTCCTGGTATTCCGCTATTATGAGCTCAAAAGTCTTAGGCTCAGTTTGTGACCTTCAATATATCAGGAGGTACTGGCTAATCGGCATTGCAGCGCTTGACAACGAGTATATTCACAGTACTCAATAGCGCGGGCTGCGCTCATCCTCAAGAGCTCATCTCTTCGGGGTGAGCATGAGACAGCGGATGGCCGTTTGCATTGTAGTAATGTTTCTTTATAGACGTCTCATAGCTGATTCAAGTTTAAGTTACCGATTTTGCATCCAAAGTTGGCTGAAAGACGAATCATTTGGCGGAGAAGGATCAGCCACAATGTGGCCGCAGCACCCGCCTGTCAGCGAGCGCCGCCCGTGCCCCGAATGGAGCCACTTCAAGGCCGCTCCAGAAGACTGCGGGAAGACAGCGAGCGATTTTAAGCGACTTTTGAGCTCCTCCCCGGAGGCACTAGCCAATGGGATTTAAGCAGATATTTCATTCTGCTCCATAAGTGTCTAAGTTTAAAGGTCTCATTCTTCTTGTAATCAAACCATGCAGACGAGGGTGCATCCTGAGGGTGGGTCGGGAAAGGCATGGGGCCATGCCACCCACCCGTTGGGCCACTCTTGCGCCACCCTCTTGGGTCACATCAAACTTGCCTCCAAAACCACGTAACCCTTATTTCCAGGAGGCACCAAATTCCAGGGACACCGCAAAGGGTTCCAAATTCTCATTTTCGGGAAATTCTAAATTATGGGGGCACTTCTATACCCGTACCTTGTCCGTTTGACAAATTCCTGGGTCGGCCCATTCCGCAAAGGAGCACAATAACCATTATTTCCATCACCATAATCTTCATTTTCAAGAAACCCTTAATCCCGGAAAGACACCACGAAGTGCTGCAAACCTTCATTCTTAAGAGGCACAACAATATTGTGTTTCCACCCCCGAACGACAGCCTGGGACAGTTCCGTGAGCAAGGTGTACTAAAATCTTTATTTCGAGACACCGTGACCCCGTTTTCAAGACGAGCTTCTGTGCATTTCACCGTGACAAAAGTTCCGATCGGTCCGTTCTTTGACGTTTGGAAAGCGGTACCAAATTTGTTCTTTTTCGGGAGCCATGACCTTAGTTTTCCTGCGACGCTGACACTAAGAGTGCCTCAAAGAGTTCTAAGACACTTGTAGATAGACAGATATCTGCACATAGACAATAAATTTCAGGGGAAAGCAATACCTGTGGCGTTCCATTGGCCAAATCATGCATGAACTCATTCGGCTAAACGGCACCAGACCCTTCATTTCGCAGCACCAAAGCTTTTATTTACTGTAGGTATCAAGTCAAAGTGGGACATTGAAAGGGTCCCGAAACCTGCATTTTAAGGGATACTGCAATATCTTTGCTTTGCATGCAGACCAAATCCTGGATAGACGTTTTCCGTAAAGAGGCAACACAAAACATTCATTGCGAAGTGCCATAAGCACCCACAAGTAAGTGAGTGTTTATGAACTTACTTGCCCACTTGGGCAAGTAAGAAGCCCAAAGTCGATCTTGGGCACACTTGCTGAACAGGGCGGGACCTCGAGTGTCAAAAGGCCTCTTGTGTTGGTCAGTACCCTCTGGCAATGACAGGAGACATGCGAAACGATGGTGCAACGATTTTCACTCAATGAAACGGAGACCTGCACCAGCCAGAGGTCACTGGACCGAATGAGGCCCCCCGCACCGTTTTAGCCAGGAGACAGGGGTCAACAGGCCGAATTGGTGTCTCGGCACAAATTAGGCCCTGTATGCCCTGTGCTGGTAAGAGATCATTTTGCATCAGTGACGTGTCCTGTATCGCCTCCGGGTCCACCAGGGCACCCCGTCCCACATCACCAGAATAGCAATGGCTGGTTCCCCGGGTTGGGGCGCAAGGACCCTGCAGTTCTTGACCAGCACAACTCATCTATGCGCTTTCGGGAGTAAATTCTCAGAACGGAATGAGTGGCTACAGTATCACAAGCAACCGAGATAACGCAATCACGCCACGAGTCCGTGGTGCTGTACATACTAAAACAACATGAAAATACGTAGGCCATCGTGTGTGAAATGCATACGTACCACACATTGCGCATTTTGTCTAGTGAGCAACACAAGATATGCTTCTTTTGCAAGCTGCTATCATGTTATGCCACAACTATCTTTTAGTTTGAAAACAAGACGATTGTACACGCGGGGAGGGGAGGTATACCTAATATCCTTGTTTTTGATATTTAAAGCTCATATCGTTTATGCATCTGTCTTGTCACATTCCTCAATTAGAATGTAAGAAATTGCCGTCCTCCCTTAAGACACTCGAAGATGCAATACGAGTGTTGAATACTTCACATTCAACTTTTTTTATTAATGATGCAAAACAGTTATTAAAATTCCACGGAACCGACCGTATGTTTTTCTTCAAGAAAGAATATCGCGTCAAAGGCTTATAACTCTTGACAGCTTCGCCACTTTCTGCTCCTAGGACTAACATTTCAATATTCACGTTATGACATGTCACTCGAGTGGTATTATGAGTTAGACAATGCGTAAAAGTTACTGTTTTTGTGTTTAGCAGTTCACTGAGGGGTTTGATTTCCCGCGGTGTCCGCCCTTTCCGCCAGGATGAAAGGCAGGCGTCGCCATAGTCTCAGAATTATCGTAAAGTCACAATGGCGCACGAACATTCACTGCTAGGTTCTACTTCAAAGAACTGACAGGCCACCGGGACGCAGGTTCCACGTAATGAAGGCCAAGCAAATATTTGGGGGGGGGGGCATGCCCGCCTCCTCCCCCCAAAGAGCTGCAAGTTCTCACCCTTGGTTCAGTGCATGTTTCGGACCCGAATCACGTTTTGTGCTAGATAATACAGGCATTTGGACAGCGGTACGGGTTATGACGGAACGACGACTGGGAATCGAATAAGATTAAGATTAGATTAAGATTAAGATTAAGAAAAGAGTTATAACCGACCATGTCATTGGAAGCAAAGACCTAATCATGGACAAATATGCAAGAACGCCACGAGAAAGGACCAGAACACGAACTCATGACGATATTTGGTTCCGCAAACACGCTCCAGTAGCAATCGCCGCCTCTCGGCAACTCGAAGAACCACAAGTGAGTCAGCCCGTCCGCTACAGTGACGATTCTGACACGGTTAGTCTGGCAGCGAATCGACAAGAGCAAAATATTTACTAAAAAGTGAACTTATTTTACATGTTTACAAACTTTGCATAGCTGCGAGCAATCGGAAAGGGGAGCTGTTGGTATAAAAGATGAAATATACGTTGTTCGGTCGCTGAGATATGGTGGGTCAGTCAAGCGGTAGCCTTGGATCTCAGCGAGGGCAATTTCTAGGGAATCAGTCAATCTGAATAGTTTGATCGTTCATTCTGCTTTTTCTCGAGACCTTGCTGTATAAAGTAGATATTGGTGCTTATTTTAATCTTTAGTTGCAGGGGCCGTAGCAGACATCTTCCATGGACTTTTAAAGGGTTTAAGTAGGCTACTGACCTCAAATGACCCAGATCAGCAATTTGTTGATAAAAACATGCCTCCTAACGTAATCCTTCACTTTTATTCAAATGCAGAAATCATTACTATCTCAAAAAACTCTGGCAGCCACGACCACCCAAAGATCATAAAAGGTAACCAACCTTAAATAAACCCCAGTGATTTTTCGCTCAACAACTATTAGTAGCAGGATAACAGGTACAACAAGGCGCTTGCACGAGGAGGTCGTGGGGTACTTTGGACAACAACCTGTTGACCTTATTGACCCGAAGGTCGCGATCTAGGAGCATCAAGTTTTGACACAAGTGGGCTCACATACAGACCAACCTGTCTTGTGTTTGGTGCCACCAGCTCTTTTAGATTTTGGGATCTCAGAGGCGGCCCAGTTTGACCCCCACCCCACCCCACCCGAGTGGAGTGGGTATTTATCCCGCCACCCAGGCGCGTGTTGACATTTGAGAGCGCATACAACATTACAAGTGAGCTTATTTCATCATACCTGAAGCTTGCCTTAATATTTAATAATTAAGAACATTCCCTTTAAAGAGGGTATGGCTGTAAACTGCGCTGAATGATCTTCAAAATGGCTATCCAGTTCAAAACCCCCGTATAAATGTGGAACGCCCAAGTTAACACTCATGGACCGCTCGGGCATACTACCCGAGCAACGCTGTTCCACGAAACCCAGGTCATCAAATGCATAGCATTTAGCTGCGGCTCCCGCTTGTTTCGTTGCACGAAGACCTGTCGTCGGTATGGCACTCCTCCAGGCGCAGAATCGGATCAGCGTGGATTCAGGTCTTGCATCATCGGGAACGTTAGACGAGTCGTCCGTACAAGCTTCACGGCAGGCCGTGTCGCCGTGTATGCTGTATATCTGACAGAATAATGCACATACAGACAGGTAGACAAACATACGTTTGTGATTTAGTTGATGAAATCGCGCTTATCTTATCAAGATAGGACCAGCTGTTCTCGAAATCTCTGATAGTAATGGGACAAATATGCATTACTAGAGAGCGTGAGTCTGACAGCTCACAGGAAAAAAGCTGATGCAGAATATCAACAATTTTGGAACCAGCCTAGCTTTGAAATGGTAAGTCAAGAAGTTAATGCAATCTGTTGAACAACGCGGCGCAGTGGATTGAACTACCAATAGTGCGGTAATGCGCGGCAGGGAAATGCGTGGTTTCATTAGGGGCGACTGAAGCAAGCGCACAGGCGTGGGATGAACAGAGTCTTGCCATTTCTCCAGACAAACAAACGCTTTTGTATTAATACGGATGCTCCGCACGGTCCGCCGTATGGAGTCGTTGCGTCGCACAGAGGAGAGGCACGCTTGTTTGAGTATTATTCAGTTTGAGTAAAAGGCGAACACAGGTCTGTGTATTCCCGGCACTTTCCGCACATGGTATTACCACACGTTTCCATTATGTCCGCGTTCATCTGCAGGGCAGTGTGACTTACTTAAGGACAAAACTGCTTATTGCTGGACAGACCCTCGTCATACATCAGACTGGACTTTTCACACTTTGAGATCTTTGTACAGATCACAGCGTAAACGCTCGACGCTCCATTGAGCGCCTCCTGCTGCCTTCCAGTCTTAAGAGCCGCTGGCTTGTCTGTGGAGGGCTTCGGTGACCTGGGAGGTAGCCTGGCCGTGGCGCGACCTGATGTGGCGCTCGAGGTCACGCCGCCTCACCAGCACCTTCCCACACCTGTCGCACCTGGGGGGGGACGGCAGTCAGTCAGGCTGGGGCCGCTCGGCCGGCCGCCGCCAGCCGCTACAGACGGGCGACACTCGGGCGCTGTTGTGAGGAGCACCCTACAGCACCAGGTATGTCGGAGCCAGGTGACGCGCCGGCCCGCTGATCGACTGGGGCTGCTCGGCCGGCCGCCGCCAGCCGCTACAGACGGGCAACACTCGGGCGCTGTTGTGAGGAGTACCCTACAGCACCAGGTATGCCGGAGCCAGGTGACGTGCCGGCCCGCTGATCGGCTGGGGCTGACGCTACACGGACGGAATCAGTCCCAGCTCCTCAGGCCACTGGCGGGGCTTTAAGATAAGCAGCGTAAGACAGTATCATCAGCTTTATCCCCCGGAGAAAACCAGGAGAATGGAAATATAATTGGGTTGCTGTTTCAGCAACATGCATTCATTGAAACAATAGCAGAAGTTTCTTCTGCTATTGTTTCGAGAAAGGCATGGTGAAGAAAGGCATATATTTTGCATGGGGGGGGGGGAGCTGTGTCGGAGCCAGGGTTTCACCCTGGCAGTAGTCTAATGAAAGACGGGGCCCTTTCCGTCAAGGTTTAAGTGGCTTCGTCGATACAGGGTTCCCGTCTTTTTTTACTCACTCGTATCACTAATGTATCGTCACTCCTTATGTCCTAAAAACCCTGATGCTTTAAAATATCTGGTGTATCGAAACGCCTGATGCTTCCCGACCATTCATCAAAACATAATGTCTCATGACACCTTATGCGTCACTAACGCCTAATGCTTCAAAGCTCTTGCTGTACCATAATGCCTGATTTATAGCAATGTGACACGAAATGCTTCATAACACGTAAACTTTGATATCACCTAATGTCTGAAACGCCTCACAGACCACAACCTTTTAATTCATCAGCACAGGCAATGAACGAGGGTCCTAACCCCTAATACCCGTAACCCCTAATGTATCACGAATCCTAACGCTTCACGACTCCTAATGCACCATAGCGCCTAGTGCACCATAACCCCTAATGTTCTCCATGCCTGATATCAGCCGACTGCGCTGGGCGCGCCGCATGTGATTTTGGCCGGCCGGTGGCGTCAAACGTGCAGTCTTCCGAAGTCTACCGAAGCACCACGCCGGTGCGTAAGAGCGCCGCCATCTTGGAGCGGTGCCAAACTGCCTGCGGCCTTCTCTAGAACAAGTTGATAGCCAACTTTGATAGCATTTTCTACCCATCAGGGTCGTTGTCTGTAAAGTAAAAATCAAGCATCGCCTCATTCCACAATGTCTCAAAACTTAATTGATGAGCATCAGCGGTCACGACCCCAAGTACAAGAACTATTAGCAGTCGCGCGAAATGTGACACCTTAGGTGTGGGATGCATTACTGGTTAGAAACATTAAGGATTGCGACACATAATCAGTGCATCGGCGGTCTGCTTTTGGTGCTTTATAATTAGTGTCGAAGTCACGCTAAAACTAATGGAGTCGCGCGAAAACTGCCCAAAAGTGCTGGCCTGCGGTCCCAGGGGGCCCACCACCTTTAGAAGGGGGTGGGGAAATGACTCGAAAAGCTACCCCTTCGCGATACCCCTCTGTCCAGTGGTGGGGCGGGAGCATTGACGAAGCTAAACCAAAACGCAACAAGGAGAAGTCTTGTTTAAGTTATGTCAAAATGTTACAGCCAGATAGCGTTGACCTCCTTCTATGGCAAGCAAAACGCCTGTCATTGTTTTGTTCCTGTGCACAATAAATGTCGTTCGTTCAAGTGGGGCTCAAAAGAACGCTACTTTTGGGGATATTACGCTTAGCGGAGCGCAACAAACGGGGGGGGGGGGGGGATTTTCCGCCAGCGCAACAGGAGCTTAGCCATGGGGAACAAATTTGAAAATAGCACAAAAAGTGTCAGGCACTTTATAGACGGACGGCTGACGGCGGCGTGGCCTGCCGCAGCGAGCTACTGGCACGTACCGGTACGGCGTCTCGCCGTCTGCGTGCAGCCGCACGTGCTTGTTGAGGTTGCTGGGGTCGCCGAACGGGCGGGCGCAGACGCGGCAGTGCAGCGGCTTGTAGCCGGTGTGCGTGCGTATGTGGATTTTGAGGCCGTACTTGCGTGAGTACAGCTTGCCGCAGTACAGGCAGACGTGACCCTTGCTGGAGCGGCCCATGCTGGAGACGAGCGACTCCACCTCGGCGCAGACGCGCGCGGTGCTAGACGGCGGCTGGTGTGGCGCGGCGGCGGCGGCGGCGGCGCCGGACCGCAGCGGCGGCCAGGGCAGCCGGCCGGCGCGGCAGCGGGCCGCCAGGTGCAGCTTCAGCGGGTTCGGCTGCTGGAACAGCTGACCGCACAGGTGGCAGCCGTACCGTCCGCCGCCTGCCGGGGGGCGGACGGCACGCTGAGGTCACGGACGGCACGCTGGGGTCACGGACAGACGGCACGCTGGGGTCACGGCCGGCACGCTTGGGTCGCAGACAGACGGCACGCTGGGGTCACAGGCGGCACCCTGGGGTCACGGACAGACGGCACGCTGGAGTCACGGCCGGCACGCTGGGGTCACAGACGAACGACACGCTGGGGTGACAGACGGCACGCTGGGTGACAGCCGGCACACTGGGGTGACAGACGGCACGCCGGGGTCACAGACGGTACGCTGGGGTCACGGACAGACGGCACGCTAGGTCACAGACGAAAGACACGCTGGAGTTACAGGCGGCACGCTTGGGTCATGGACAGACGGCATGCTTGGGTCACGGACAAACGGCACGCTGGGATGACAGACGGCACATTGGGGTCACAGAGGACGGCACGCTGGGGTCACAGGCAGCTAGCACATGCTGCTGGGGTTCCTCGTGAATTTCGGTGGCATGTGTAAATCACAGAGAAGCCCAGGTTTCTCACAATTCTATGCAGAGGGGTCGATGACCACGAAACTGACTCCAATCAAATCAAACGAGTGGATGTAATCGATACACGAGCAGTTCGCATGTACATTGACGACTTCGAGGAATGCGCTATGCGAGGCATAATTCAACGTGCCTGAAACTTTTAAATTCATTCCTCCATCAGGATATTTCAAATGATGATTTCCCTCTGAATCAAACAACGCGACTCAATTAACACCAGCCTTGCATATTCTTACCCATTATTTGAAGCACTGACTTGTGCAAATACACGTAAGGAGTGCCATAACCACTGGCATGGGAATGGTAAGCCATGTGCTAGCAACCCGTTAAAAGGCCGGCACCAGGTGAACAACGCCGAGGCCGGTGCGCGGTAAACGCGAGCGACCGCCGTGCGTCGCCACCTCTGCGTGCCTACCCTGTATGTTGCGCAGACCGAGGAAGGGCACTGCCATCTGGTGGCTGAGCTCGGCATCAAACCAGACGGCGAGCTGCTCGCCGCTTCGGACCGACCGGGCTGTGACCAGCTCGAATTGGTCCGGACCGGCTCGGCGGCGGCGCACCGTCACGTTGTGGGCGTGGCAGTTGGTGGCCAGGCGCAGGCAGGCGAGCCAGCCGGGCGCGCCCGACAGGTCGTCGACGCCCACCTGCAGGCCGTCGGCGGGCAGGTCAGGCAGGCACACGGCTGCAGGGGTCATTCTATTGCCCAGCAAGTCAGCAAACTCGGGAACTCCGGCCAGCACCGAACTGGATCGACCTAGTACGAGGCCGGCTGCTTGACGGAATTAATCGGTCGAATCAGCGGACACTCAGTGACCAATCTGTTGTTTTCAAGTAGATTGGAATATGCCCGTTCTACTATGGGCCTAAAGCTCGACAGACCCAGTGCGGTACCTGCTTCGTTGGGTCGGGTTAGCACTCATCTGGGTTACCCCAACACTCAACTATGGGGTCACGCTACTGGTGATGAGACCGCTGCTGTACTGAGCCGTGTTTGAACAAGGCCAGTGAATACATGCATGGAGGATGGGTCAGATCCGCCCTCTTCAAACTGACACTCGACTGTTAAAATTTCTCCACCCATTGAGAGATCAGTTCGAGCATTTTATGACGCGTCGCATCAGCTCAAATGGGCTTCAGTTGTGATACTTCATTACCACAGCAATGGCTCAAAATGACTGCTGGGGGTGTAATGGTCCAGTGGTTAGCGCCTTGGGCTCCCACGTGGGGCCGAGTTCGATCCTGGTCGCGCAATGGCCCCTGAGCGCCATTACGGCCCATGCAGTCGCTGGCGCTCCATAAAAGAGCGCGCAAGGCTTTCGTGACTTCCAGACCCAGACTCAGGCATTCAGTGTGCGGACATAACTTGACCAGCGCGTCCTTGTGATGCAGACCAGCGGTGACTGGTGCACTGAGCCGACCGTCCTGCGTGTAGGATCCGCAATACAGCTCAACCACTGACGATCACTTGCTACACGGAGCTCCGATGTTCATGCCGACATCTTTGTGTTCTTGTTCCAGTTCTGTAACTTTTTGGATCCTGAACAAGGTTAGAGCTATCGTTGTCTTTTCAAGACTTTGAGACCTTAACAAAGATGTTCCTAAAACGCTAGACTGGATAGTATTAGTTTTTATTCTCATGCCAATTAAAAGAGCCAGTTTTTCACGCATTCACCACATCATGATTACCACACTCGTAACCACACTCTAGACGCTATCGGGTCCATTTCTATTTCCATACCACTCTGTGTGGTTAGATCACAAAGATAGTCTGTGCTGATGACATGCAAACACGATGCTCTTTTATGGCTTATTGAGGCTCATCCTCGGTAGGGTGATGAGTACTAAGCCCATCCACTTATTGTCCCAAAACGCCTGTGTGATGCAGGTGAGGCCGAAGCTCAGAGAATGTTTGTACGTCAAGGGTCTGTGACAATGAGTTGACTTGCTGGTGGTATGTCTGCAGCTAATTTGATTTCAAGTAACTCATCAGGACTTGTAGTATACTCAGCTATGCTTGGGAACAGCTATACATTCATATTTTTCACAGTTAATGTTCTCAATTTTGTATATGGTCTTTAACAACCTTGCCAAAAACTCACACATTAATTTTGATCCTTAATTGGTCAGACGTATGTAAAGGTCAGGTCAGATCTTCCCTGCGAGCCTTCCTTTCGTCGCCCTTCTCTGCTCGCCCCAACCCCGCCCCTGGCACGCTCCCAGCTCACACCTGTCCGGCGGCGAGCTCGCCGCGATACTCACCGATCTGTCCGGCCAGTCCTCGGCGGCGAAGTTGTGGGTGTCGCACCTGAGCGAGGTGACGTCACCGGCAGACAGCGGCGGTGACGTCACGCCCTCGGGGATGGACCGGACGGCGACGACGCCGGCCGCCGGCTGGCCGCGCGCCGGGCCGGCCGACGGGCCAAACAGCGACGCCGCCGGCAGCGACAGGTACACAGCCGGCAGCATGGCGTCACAGGTCATCCCAAGGCCCGGCACGTGACCACGTGACTGCGCCACCGAGCCGACTGAGCGAGAGCGCCGCCGGCGGGCAGAGATTTATACGGTGGGCGGGCGGGCGGGCCCCGGTTGACATTACACTTGTTTGAGAACGGACCAGCTGACGCCACAATGCGAGCACAATCGGCCGACAGGGGGAGCCACCGCGTCTGTTTGCCGTGGCTAAACGGATCCACTTGTGCCCAGGCCGCCGAGCCGACCAGCTTTCAGCCCGGGGGCGCAGGACCGTCCAAAAACCGCGCGTGCCACGCACCTGTTGTGGCGTCGGTTCTTCCCATTTGTCACCATAGAGTTTAATTTAGCTTTCAATGACAGGCTATAGCAGCCCTGTCTCTGCCCCGGATCGTAAGTCCGTGCCTCATTCCGTGTTCAGCGGCCCCGCGGCGGAAATTCTAACAAGGAGTTTAGCATATGTAATTGTAAATTGCAGCTGTCATACTCAGTTGTTAGCTGCAATTGTTGTATGGTAGTATGACTGTACGGCCATACTGCCAGACAGCTACACGTGCTCGCATCAGAGCTGAAGCGTAACTCCGATTTCTGCTGCAGAGCAGCTTGTAGTTGGTGAAGGTGGGCCTCGTCTCCGACATGAGCGAGCTTGTCAGCGACATAGCGGCAGTATAGCTGTGGCTAGGGATCCTGATTTTTGAGGACACGGTTTTCCAGCCAGCCAACGCACAGCTCTGCGAACCAGCATCCGAGGGGCGACTCCATTGCGACACTAAATCCTTGTCAGCAGAGTTTTCCGTATGAACAACTGATGGGTATCTCTAGGGTACAGCATCGCATCTTTGTTACTTCGAAACATCGCGATGGTTTCAGTGGTTGCAAAGAAGAGTGATGACGGAGCCCAGTTCAGTACAGCCTAGATTGCTTCCTCAACAGGTGCATTTGCGAAGAGGCTTTCTACACATATTCAACCATTTCATTACGGCGGGATAGCCTGCGTCTGAAGCTCATCATAAGGTCCGAAGTCATGGCCCCACGAGGCCTCGAAGGGGCCCATGACCGGCCGAACAGACGCAGTTTTGTTAATGCGTAGCGCAGGAAGTAAGAACAGCCGCAAGCATAAGTGAAGTCCCCATCAGCATAAAAAAATAATGCATCGCTGTTGGAGGAGACGGTGCTTGGGGGAGATATTAGGACTCACTGTGCTGTCCAGATGCCCTACGCTGCTGCCGGTGGTCCTATGCGGCCACTTACCCGATCAATTCGATCGCTAAGAAATCTTCCACACTGCCCTTGAGTTCCCTGCATTTGCTCGGAGGCCTCCACGTACTATCAGCGCCCTATATGCTAACCTCCGACGCACTCTTGGTCGATCGGTGGTCCTAAATAAATTCATGGGATTCTTCTCCTTCGCCCAAAAGGCTCTACACGCTGTTACCGGGGGCCCCATATGTCAGGCTGTCGGGGTACTGTCGGTTACTTAGGGACCCTTCACATTGGTCTCGGGTTCTCTCCGCTTGCTCGGAGGACCCTGCGGTGTTTCTGGGCCCATACAAGTCAACATGCCGAGATACTCGATGCCCAGTGGCTCTCTAAAGCTGTCTAGGGCTCCATTTCATTTCCATTTCATCCCTTTCGCGGGGGACCCTACGCTCTTGATGGGGCCCGTTCTGTTAACACATGTCAAATTGATCCCCGAAAGTTTTTCCAGAATGGTTTCCGAACGACACAGCGTAGCCGCGCCAAATTTTGCATAACTATGGACAATTAAATAGCAGATCGTTTGGTATCAACAATTTAGATGCACCTTCTAAGATCACTGACCTATGGTAGGTTAGAATCAGGCCATGGATTCAAAGTCACTTTCCAGGGAATCGTCCAATCTGATTGAACAACGGGGCGCTAGACGGGTTCATACATCTCTGAGGTACTTTTCTAGGCAGCAGGACAATCGAATGACCAAATTCTATTGATCTAAGGTCAGGTATAAAGGTCAGATCCAAGTCAAAACCACCCTGCTTTGCTATCCTAGGACTTGCTGTATGGAGCAGTTTCTGGTGTTCATTTCGAAATTATTGATGACAGGAACCGCGTTATACATCTTTCATGGACTTCTTAACGGTCTGAATAATTCACCGACCCTAAATAAAAAAACAGTCGCTAAAACATGCCACGCCAACATTTTGTTTTTAGGAACATGCTGCCTGGTGCAATCTTGTTTGTAATGGTGTTTCGACAGCTCGTATGTATAGGCCTGGCTCAATCTGTTACTCAATTTGTGGCAGCCATTACACTTATGCATTACGTTCTTGAAACATTTTGAAAGTTAGGATACTTTGTACTCCTTTATTACAGTAAAAAACAAAAGTTCTACATAAGCAACTAGCTGTCCACTGATCACATCAACTAGCCGGCTAGCCGTAACCAACCCCGGAATCAACTGTAGTGCTTGATTTTAATGGTATTTAGCAGACAACTCGATCTCAGTCGACATAGAATTTATGCCATATATTCTCCGAAATACTTGGCATTAAAATGTCAGGATTCGCTATTATCTGGAGCAAATGAACGCGCTCGATGTATGTACATAAGTACCTCGCCTGGTGTTCTAGGGCTGTGTGTAGTAAGATGGTTTTCCATATAAAAAGTAGCATACATAAGAACTTTAAAATGTGCTGGCCAAAATCCGCTCATTTTTTGGAGAGGGCCTCACACTCCAGGGCACCACAATGCCGTTCCCCCTCCCTTGAAAAATATTGGACCCGCCTTTACTTTAGAGCGATGAGTAGCTCTCATATGACAGTTCTGGTCCCGCGTATATGAGAATCCGCAACTACGCTGTTAACTTTTAAGTCAGGCGACCACTCTGATCTGACCACTCTGATCACTCTGATCCGGGCACCTACGGGACCCCGTCGGTTTTGCCAACACTGCGAAGATTGCCAATGACCCGTTTGTCAACCGAGCTCGGGGTGCCTTGACAAAAGAATCCATTATATGCCCGTGCAGTAATGCTTTCACCTTGGGCATCACACAGTGCTCGCTGTGCTGGGCGCAGCTATCCACGTGACCGGCCAGCTAGACGTGAGACCATTAGCGCCATTAGCCGCCGTGGAAACTTCAAGTGTATTTGATGGCGTCCCACATGCCTGTACCTGGAAAAGCTGGAGTGGTATGGCGCGGATAATCATGGATTGGCCGACTGGCTGTCTGAACGTTCCAAGGCTGTAAGGAGGGGTTCTCACCATTTGTCTGCAGCCCACGGCGTTGTGCAGGGCTCAGGCTTGGTGCCTGTCCTATCTTTAAAAACGAGTTGAGGCCAAATAGCAGTTACGGCAGTCATTTTATATGCGACAGATACCCAGTTTATCGACTCGGAATGTCGTAATGACCTTGAACACCTCAAAATACGTATAGAACACACAATGGTTGCTGACTTTATGTAAGTCAACCAAAATACTGACTTCTGACGAGAAATCATGCATCGTATATATACCGTCGCGCAGAATGACGACAGATATCAGTCTGTTAAAGCGATTGCGGGCCAGCCGCCAGTGCTAATGCCAACGTTCTAGGGGGGGGGGGGGGGGCGGCTCTCACATGGGAGCATCACATTACCAGGACAACAAGACGCTGTAACTGCGTTCTCATGGGTCTGTGCAAGCTGCGACACAGACTGCCTCGCGTGCTGCAGGCACTACTCATAGATTCCCTGGAATTCCCCTTGTAAAATAATGTCCGCGTGTTTGGAGGGCGGGGGGGGGGAGTATGTCTAGAAACTGAGGCCAAGAAGTCCTTGATTTTTCGAGGAGGATTGTATTGGGTTTGAAGCTATATGACCATGCGTTTTGCTCCCTGAGTCTCACTGGCAATCTGCAGACAAATGATAACAGATGCTGGCGTAACACGTGTAAACAAGCTCACCACATTAAGAACCGGACCTTCCGTTTGAAGAGATTTGCTCGTACTTTTCAGTCAGAAAACAAAACCTGCTGCTCAGTCTTCTACAGCGCTGCTTTTACAGCTTCCGCGATTGAGAGTGAGAATGGATCCGAACAGGACGACCTAAATGAATACTAAAGAACGATGAGCTTACCTTGTCATGTATTACCTTAAGGAAGCGGACTAAGTGATCGTTTCTTTTCGAGCACCCCAAAGTACCATGCGTTTTCCACCTTCTTTGGTTTCGTTAAACGTCTTATTGTTTTGCGCTATGATGCAGCTAAACATGCATTTGTCCAAAACTTGGCATGACATTTTGACGTATTTTCGACCTAAGGCGTTGTCAAGCTAGAAAGAAGTTAGGGCATTACATATATATAGTGGTATATATACGATGCACTTACTTCATCATTATTGTAACTGAGCAGGAAACTACATCCCCGGTTACAAATTTCCGGACTGCGGAGGAACCGCCGAGAAGCACGGGAAAGGCATTCAGAAGCGGAAGGGGTGAGCTCGCACTCTGAGGTTCACAGTGTGAGCGGCTTTTAGCTGGGGAGACTTGTGCACAGCGGGCTCGGATCGCCATTTCCATGACATAGCAGGTCCTGTGAAGTACCTACGTTCGTCGGCTGCCTGTGTTTTCGTGCTTATGCTCTCTTCAGGAGAGCGAGCACAGGCCTTCCACGATTTCGTGTCTCTCTGGGGCTGTGGGAGAGGGTCCGCACATTCTGAGATTTCTGAAGGGGGCATTCTCCACGTTCACCATGGTGTCGTCGCCCGTGAAAATGACTACCGGAAGCGATATTAGACTGAGCAACCTCATTTCCCCGAGTTGTGTTAAGTTGGTGCAAGTACTTGCATTACTTGCATTAGTTTATTTCCATTTTTAGGACCTCTACCACATTTTGGTCCGACAGCATCAACTCAGCAAAAAAACCCCATCCATGTATGGGGCTTCACACATCTTTGGACTTGGAGGAGCCTTGCTAGAGATGTCTAGCCAGGGGGGGAAGGAAGCCTTGAGATCATGTCTCCCGTCTTATAGTTGAGGCGAGTACCCTCTGGGCCCGAAGACCCCAGCACGTTTTGTCAGTGTAAGATCCCGGAGGACGTTTGAAGTGCCATACATCGGCCCTCCAGTCACCAAAATGGGATTCCGAACCTAAAAATGTGCTTCGAATAGAAAACAGGCCCCGCAGCAGCGAAGTAGCCCCCCTTTGGTCAGAAGGCTCCCCATGGCCTGATTTCCCGCCCCGGAGCACCTGGCTGCCCACTACCCTCTATTCACCATTATTCGGCCGAAATTACTCACCTCGTGAAAATGCAAACAACTATATTCACCGGCCTGTGGCATCTAATTCAATTTATATTGCACCACAGCCAGGTCTACATTGCCCCACAGCTAGTGCCTAAGTGGTAAACCACGCATTATTCACGAACTTGAAATACAGGTCTTTGAACTTTTCAGGCGATTGCAGATGGAACAGAGCACTGCCTCGTTTGTGGCTGGGCTGAAATTTTAAACGCCAGCTCATTAATTTCTCATCCAACATTTTCCGGTGTTGTCGTAGGATCCAGCATATTTGTAGAATGATGCGCTTTCTGGCATGTTTCTGGAGAATTGGCACCCAGAGTTTTTTTTCCATTTTACCCTTGGGTTCCTGGGATGTAGTACCTTTTTAATAGCTGCGTAAAGGGCCGGAATTCACCTGAAAGATTACGGTCCAGACGTTGCTTTACATTGTTCTGAATAGTTAGAGAATCCCAGGTCTATTTGTTGGAGATTATCGACAGTGGGATCGCTTCAGTGCCTGGGATACATTTTGGGCTCCACGCACATGTCTGCATCCACGTCAATCGCACACATCTTGCTGCCAGGTTGTTGCGCCCGCATGCTTAAGGTGGGCTTCTAGAAAACCGGAGGTGCGGGGCTCGGTTCCCGCGGCGACCGCCCTTCCCGCCAGGGTGGGAGGCAGTAGGCAGCCTCGTAGCCATGTAGCCTCCGCATCTGAGTGTGTCATAAAACCTCAGCGACCCACTTCACAGCCCGCGCTAGCCGTGTTTCTACATGTAATGACCGGCGTTAATGCCATGTTCTCTCTGTGAACCGCGTTGAGAGATGCTATTTCCTCGCCGCCCACCTCCCCCCCTCCGCGGGTCGCCATGCTGCTGGGACGATGGCACGGTAGGGGACGGCGACGTTAATAGTCTGACGTTTACTCAGAAATCGGATCGATGGGGCAACTGAACGGAGTACAGAAGCCGGCCTCGCACACACTCCAACAGTGTGCACGCTATCTGCGTATCCGTGGTCACCAACATAGCTTGGAACAGGCCATTACATGTTGAGGTCTGGTGATGGAAGGCCAGGGGCAAGCTACTAATCAAATCGTTCAAATCGTGGAGTTTTGAAGACCGCTTCCAGGAGGCAGTGGATATTCACGGAGTGATGGCGGCTCTGGAGAATTGTAACGGATAATGTCGCTTAGTGGCCGCCGGCACGCGACGCGTGACAGGCACAGCGCAGGGACGGAAGCCGGTATTCAGTGCGCATGAGAGGCGCGGCGGGGCAGGTGGTACCTTTGCGGAGGAAGAGTGCGATGGGCGGCTGGCGCGGGGTTGGGGAGGTAACGCTTTCGGGGAGGAACAGCGCGATGGGCAGCAGTCGCTCAGTGGGGGGAGGAGGAGGGGGAGGAGGTGGCGCCTATAGGAAGAGCGCGGCTGGCGGCAGGCGCGCGGTGAGAGGGGGGGGGGGGGAGGAGGTGACGCGCCTTGAGGGACGGGAGAGCGTGATGGTTAGTAGGCACGACATAGGGAGGAAGGGTGGCCCGTTCTGAGGAGGAAGAGTGCGGTGGCGAGGACGAGCGTGGTGCGCACCGGCCAGTGCTGCCTCCGGAGCGTCGCCACAACACCATATACACGGTGCGACGGCAAACAACGGAGTACTTCACTGATTGCTATTCAAGGCATATTTTCTTAATAATAAATCGGTTGCGTCAGATCAAGCTACAAAAATCACTTCCCCGCTAGAGGGCATGCGGCAGCACCGGGTCGCAATGATCTGATAGGCCACACCATCTTTTCAGAAGGCTGCCTGCGAAGCCCTGGCAGGTGGACGTGTGTGCTTTGACCGATCTGCAGCAGCAGCGCTAAATTGAATGAAACGTTCATCCGGCGATAACACGGCGCCACTGTGTCGTTCCAGCGATATCTGATTAGACTGTGACAAAGCGACTCGTAAGCAAAACATTTACCGGGCCCCGCCATATGTAAATGAGCCGACAGCGGCGGCCGGGCCTGGGAAATGAGCACGTGGTGGCTGACGGGACTCCAGTGATGGCCGCCTCCGACAAACCGCGCTGTCAGCCCCCCCCCCCCCCGACCCCCTACATCAGGAAGCACGCTCCTTCCCTTCCTCACTCACATGGGTCTCCGGTCAATTCAGCCCCTGCATCCGAGCGCAACACAGAAAAGGACTTGAAAAATATGTATTAGTCGTTAGGTTGTAGCCGGTGGGGTGCGGCCGGCGTGCGGCAGGTCATGCCAGGTCAGGTCAGGTCAGGTCGCATCGGGGTAGCGCGGGCGGGGTTGGAGTGCGGACGGAGCGGGTGGCTGCGGCTGTCGCTCGGCGGTGGGGCCGAGCGGCCGCAGTCTGCCCGTCCTCAGCGCCCTCCCGGCCATCCTCAGCATCCAGCCTGCCCGCCTTCAGCGTCCAGCCTGCTCATCCTCAGCGTCCGGCCCGGCCATCCTCAGCGTCCGGCCCGGCCGCCCTCAGCGCCCGGCCCGGACACAGCCACCGGCGCTCCGCTCAACTCGGCGGATTTCGGCACCGCTTACGCCGCAGAAGCTGTGCACCACGTGGCCAGACGGGTTCCGGTGCAGGACGTCGCAGACGTGTAAGAACTAAACAACAGCACAGCCCGCCGGTGCTGGTCCGCGGCGGCGGGACGAAGACGCCGCACCGGCACGTCCCTCGCACGCAACGCGCGCGCGCGCGCGCACCGAACGGGCTGCCGCATACAAATAACGGAGTAACACGAGCTTCACACTATGTTTACGACTGTGACTGAGACAGACATTTTGAGAGCGAGCTGCGGCGTCCCGGTGAAAGTCCGACGGGGGCCGGCTGTGGCCGGGCTGCGGCCTCCAGCAGACACATCTGAAACAGACCGACGCATGTGTTTAGAACACGATGCTCGTGTGTCCCAAGCAGACGGACGCATCACCGACAGTGGTGAAGCCAGCGGGTCGGTTGGGTTGCATTCTGTAAGCCTGTGAAGGCGCGGAACGGCGGTGATAACAGTCTTTAGTTTCCAGCGTTCGATTTGGGCTTGGCAATCACATTTTTGTTCCTTATCCTTTTGTTCCCCGCCGTCCTGCGCTCTTATCCACAACTCCGCCAATTATGACAAAAATGATTTGGCATCTGGCGTGATAACCGCTGGCTTCGCTTTTGCGCTCCACTTCTTTTTTAAGAGCCATGGGTGATCAGCCAAAATATCGCTGTTCGGGTGCATGCTTTCAAATTTGGGCGTGAAAAGCTTTAACTACCACGAAAGCTTCAGAATGAGGGTCACGCATGACAAACCTGTTGAGTTATGGGTCTTAAAATATGATTCGTGGGGCCTCAAAATCTGATTAAATATGCACGGTGCTGATCAGCTGGGCGCAAAATGACCTCGGCCGTCGGCGCGCCAATAAGCCCCAATGACCTCGGCCGTCGGTGCGCCGGTAAGCAAAATGACCTCGGCCGTCGGCGCGCCAGTAAGCCGCAATATCATCGTCAACACCAAAAAGCGCATATTAAAATGCGTTGAATAACTTGTAATTTGCGGCAAATGCTCATCAAAACAAACGACCTTACAACGGTTTCGGGAACAAGAATGTTAAGCTTTGCTATTTTTGCTCTCGAGCTCTGTCCTCGCCGCATAAGTTACTCCAGCGGCACTCTACGCCACAAAGGCGCGGAGGGATGCAGTGTGAAAGGGCTTGGGGAAACAGCTAGGTGACGACAACTTAGGATATGTGAACCTTGGATATTTTGATTGCTTTGGCATCGATGGATATAAGGCTTCGGCCACCGTCTGCATCTTAGACCTGATGTGCACAAGCCGCATAAGTGCACGACCTCAGACCGTAGCTGGGCAGAGGAAGATGCAATTAAGGTTCAGTACAGCCTAGATCTGCGTTATCACCCCTTCCCCTTCTCACTCCAGTAGCCTCCAGCCCGCAGAATCAGCTGGTGCTGCTTTTGGGCCAGTAACGCCCTTATTAACCAGCCGGGGGCAAACGGAACGTCAACTGCTTGGCCTGAGCCGCCCAGCATGTTCCCAACTGTTAAGCCGCGCTTCCCAGTCCTCGGCGGCCTCTCGCCCCCGGGTCCCGCTGCACTGCAGCCCAGCCAGCGTCACGCCACTCCCCGACTGCCCCAGACGCGGGTCACGGCACGAGCAACAGCTGCCGGCCGCCGTGTCGGCGGACGAGGGGGAGGGCGGGGGGGGGGGGGGCTCCGACCAGCCGGTCATCTGACAGCTGCGTTCGTCCCGCGGAGCGCCCTCTGCCGCGCTCATCTCGGCCATTGTGCGCGCGCCGGTCGGCCGGGGCGACAGCCGACGAACAAGTGCAGCCGCCGTCAGCTGCCAGTTTCCCAGCGTCGGCGCCCCCTCCCTCGCCGCACTTCTTCACGGCTATTACAGATAGGGCGGGCCTGCGCCGGCGACAGGTGATCGCGGGGCGCCACCCTCACGGTCAACACGCCCGGGCGGCGGCCGTCCCATCGACAGCAGAGCAACACATGACGTCACTCACCGACGGCAGAGCGACAAGTGACGTCACTCACCGAAGGCGGCGCTAAAGACTGGGGTCAGTGCCACAGATGACTAACCTTCATCTGTGGCTCTCAGCACCCATTCTGGCAGGTTTCATCGTTATTCCCATACATTTATTTGGTACAGTCGGCATGCCTAGTTTTGGGTTCAGACCACTAGTCCAGCTGAAGCAGGGCTCGTTGTACAAGCTACGAAGATAAATGAGAGAAAATCGCCCGACTCTGAGCAAAACCAGCTCATGCCCAGAGGCGGATCAATATTTTGCCACTGTACTCGACTTCAGAAGTCCTTCAATGGAATGGGGTGGTGGGGGCAACAATTGTAATGTGCCCCCATTGCGAATTTTGTTGGTGTGTCGAGTGTTCGTCGAAATGCCCCTAATGCTGCAATGACAATTACATAAGTTGCATTACGGGCTGCTTTTTTCGTGTTGCATCTTTGGCACGCTAAAGTTGCGGTGGACGCCCCGCACGTTCTTGGGATTGTGAGCAATCTTGTAGGACCACCTCAACGGCTGCCCGGCCCCTACGTCGGTTTCACAGCAATCGTGGCCAGCCCCCTGGACCGGCACTTGCGCACGCTCCGATTTGTTTTACGTTTGCAGCCCAAGAGTGCGTGTGCACATTCCATAGATAAAAACGTCTAAACTGATGTAAGCTGTTTAACAGGAGTTAATGCATGTAAAATGGCACCCGTGTTTCCTTAAAACTAATTTTGTTTTCACTTGTCTTCGTTCCCAGGACAAAGCAGGAAAAGTGCTGAAACTCTTCTAGATAACTGAACGAGAACCAAGGGCAGCTGCTCACCACAGGCAATGCAATTTGGTCTTAACCAACATTGCACCAGTTTAAGATTGCTGAAGATCATATCGACCTTCCGTGGTTGATACAACAGCCGGGTCCAAAAATGTACACCTGGGTGGCCGTGATTTATCATTTGGCCAAGACTATGTGGGAAACCTCTAGGACGCGATGCTCTTTGAACCTGCTCAAAAATGAAATGCCAGTTGTACTCGTCCAGACTCGTACAGACGTCCAGCTCAGGCAATGCGCGACATCTGCCCACCACGCTCAACAAACTGATTTGAGCTACGAAAGCACGTGATCACTTTTTGAAACGTTGTCGACTGCAATATAAATTCACATAGCGGTTATGGATGCAATGGTAAATGCACGGGAGTTGTAACGATTTCCAGCCTCCAAAACGGTCGTAAACAGCGAGCAAAAAGTTAGGTTGAGTTTGAAACAACCCCACACCCAGATCATTACGTTCTCCACCCAGGCAAGCCCGTGCAGGTGGAAGCGCTCACTACGAACAAGGCACGCCAGTAAGAGCCACGCAATGAGCAATACCGCAGTAAGTCGGCATGGCAGAAAGAACAGGACCTTAACGATCCTTGCTCAACGCAGGGAAAGGGAAGAATGCATACCTCTGACTTCACAAACCATCACGCTGAATCGCTCTTAACCTATCCAACACAGCAGCAGCTTTTTTGCAGCAGCCTTTTGAGCAGGCCGGATATTGCCAGACCAAACAGCATGTCGCCGTGTTTGCCGTACTTTTGCCACCGGAAGTTTGGCCTGCTAACGGACGATCGCGTGCTAGGGCATGGGGATTTTGGACGAATAGGTGGGATGACAGGGCGCCGACAGAAACTTTGTTGGCAAGTCATGTAGGTGCTCATTTATAGCTAAAACCCAAACACCATGTGATCAAAGTTGTTGAAATAAATATCCAGCAAAAGCGTACAAGAAACTCAAGCCGCCCTAACTTCTTGGTATCATTGTCCACATCCTCTAAAATGGCGAACAATGAACAAAGCTCAAGAGCTGTGCGCGTCGAGCCCTGGCCCAGGTCGTGAAAGTTGGCGGTCTCAGTGGTGTAAACAGATCTGCCCATAAGAATTCGCACATCCGCAGCAATCCGGGGATGTATGTACTCGATGTGCTCAGCGTGTATTATCAGCCCCGCAGTCCGGATCGGAAGGGAGCACAGACGTTGACACTCCCGCGTCCTTGCCAGATTTGACGTCAAGTGAGCCGAAGACCAGATGCCTGAGCACGCCCGGGGACCCCGGAACACGGGGAGCTCGGGGATCGCGGACAAGCGCGCCGCACGGCCCCGTCACGGCGAAACACCGCAGTGTTTGGCGCTCAGTGGCCCTGGTAACCGCCGGCTCGCCGCCGCCCGCTCCCGTATGCAAGACCGGTAACGAGGCGGCGGCACGCCACCAGTGCAGACCGGCAGCGGCGGCGGCGGCGGCGGCGGCGGCGCATCTGTCTCAGACGAGCCGGCCGGCCGTCAGCAGACCCCTCACAGACCGCTGGGCAGACGGCTGTGGTGGCACGGGCTCCAGCGCACCTCAGCATACCACGCAGTTACATGGACGGCTGGAGAACTGGGCCAGTGCTACGCGGTGAGGCTGGTCGGCTAGAGAATTCCATTCAAACGTTCAGGCACGAAACAGCACCAAAGCCAGGACTTTTTACATAATAAATTCCACATATCAAAGCCGTGATATTGCAAACCCGAGCCTGATCTATTTCTTAAATGTAAAGGGTTAATGCCATTTTCACGCTGCTGCATGCTCATTAAACTCCACTTTTGTGGGCCATAAGTTAATCGACTCATGAAACTTCGGACTGATAAAATCTAACTGCGACCGTCTGATTGCAAGGCTAGGATTTAGTCTGGTGCCTCACATGAGTGCACGGGGTGGACCCCTGCGTACTTAGATTAAAAATTAATTAGCATAATGTATCTGAGCATATACGTGCTCTATACGTGTTTCAACCACTTCGCTTATTTGCAGTTCACTATACGTGCCCATAAATCACTAGCCTCAGCACGTAACAGATGGTTAAAAATTATGTGTCCATTAAAGCCCGACGACGCGTGTTATGAGCCCACTCTAGGGATCACAGGGTGAGTTACACCTGAGTCCGGCAGTCCCAGCCGTGAGGTCGCTCCATTCGTGGGCGGGCGAGTCCCACACGGTCGCGGGGCCCTAACGTTAGCCCGCTCTACGGATCACAGGGTGAGTTACACCTGAGTCCGGCAGTCCCAGCCGTGAGGTCGCCCCATTCGTGAGCAGGCGAGTCCCACACGGTCGCGCGGGACTAATGTCAGCCCACTCTCCATTTGCCCCGCTAGTTCCGCGGAGTAGGGTAGCGCGTACCGCGAGCCCACCCCGTCACCCGGCAGGTAGGCCAGTTCCCAGAGCCGGGCGGTCTGTGCCTGAGCTCACTCCATCCCTGTCCTGCCAATCCCCCAGATCCGGGCCGCCGGTAGCGTGCGCCGGCTCCCTGTGTGACAGTGCGAATGCCCTGGTTGGGGCAGCCCGTACCGTGAGCCCAGGTTATGGGTCGTCCTCGTCCTGTTCGGGGGTGACCTCCTCGCCCGTTTTGGTGGCCGAGCCCGAGGCGGTGGGCGGCGGCGCCTCGTCGTCGGTGTCGTCCTCCTCGCCGCCGTCCTCCTCGGCCTCTTCCTCGGCCAGGTCCTCGCCTTCTTCTTCCTCGTCCTCCTCGGCTTCCTCGCCAGCCTCGCCGTCCTCGCGTGCCTCGGTGTCGTCCGACTGAGCGGGCGGCGAGGCCGGCGGCGGCAGGCGGGACGTCAGCGATGGCCGCCGCTCCAGCTCCTCTCGCCGCTTCCGCACCGCGTCCAGGATCAGGTCTGCCGGCAAACACCCACACACGTGTCACGCGCACCCTGGTCACACACACGTGCCACGCACCCTACGGTCACACACACGTGCCACGCACCCCAGTCACACACGTGTCACGCGCCCTACGGTCAAACACACACGTGCCACGCGCCCCGTGGTCACACACACACACACACATGTGCCACGCGCCCTACGGTCACACGCACGTGCTACGCGTCCCGTGGTCACACACACGTGCCACGCGCCCCACGGTCACACACGTGTCACACTCACCAGCGTCATACCGCATCTAGCGCCGAGTCGACACGCACGTCAAGCGTCCCGCCGACGGCCACACACCCACACCGCACCCACACCAGCTATGACTACCGCACCCAGCTCAGTTGTCAACGGACAGGTGAGGCATCCACGCCCCATCCAAGTCCAGGGCTGTATGCCGACATATACTCACACGCACTTGCATGCACACACGCAAGTCACGGGTCACACCTGCCCACATCGCACAGTATCTGTCCACACAAACGCAAGACATTCGGCAGCGTCCAGTGACCACGTCACCGCCTTCAGGACCGGCCGACAGCCGACAGGCGGACGGCCGCCATCACGTTCGGGATTCGTTCTGCTGACGCACGTGTGAGGAATTTAAAACGCGTCCACTGTTGACATCGCTGCATCGCTGCATTCACACAGCATTCACTGAAGCCATACAACTTGACGAGTCATTTAGTAGCGTGTAGAGTGCCTGCTCATGCAGTGACGAGTGACCGCGCCGCACCACGACGGGGCAAACGCAGAAGACCACGCCGCCGGGACAGTCATCAGCGGCTGGCATCGAGTCAGGTGGCGGACGCTCCCGCCTCTCGCAGCACTCACCATCCAGCACCTCTTTTCCGCTCAGCACCTTGTCCAGCTCCTGTTCCACGGCGTCTCGCAGCCACGGCATAAAGGCTGTCTCTATGTCGCGCTCGACGCCGTTGAAGAAGAAGCCCTTCTGCCGGAGGTTGCTGAATACGGCCGGCACCATGTCGGCCAGGTAGCTCTGCGCCAGGGCCGAAGCGGCCACCTTGGCGCCCGTCTCCTCCTCCTGCTCGAGCGCCACGCGCCGCTGGGCCATGCGCCGGTCCTGGCGAGACGTGTGACGTCAGACTCCTGCTCCAGTCTGAGCCGCTGGTGGCAGAGCTTCAGGGCGACGGATGGCCGACACGCTCAGACAACGGCAGCGGGTCACGTGCCGTGAGATTACCGCAGGGTCACGGCATGCCGCGACAGCTACCTTTTCATTTCCGGACACATGTGGCGCTGACAACCGCAAGGCTGCGGCTAAGTCATGGAACGGTGCGTGCCGATCCTGTGTCCGAGACTTTGCTGCATCAGTAGCGCTACAACTTGAGCATTAATTCTATTAACTAGGAAGTCAGAAATTTCAACTTCACCAACACTTTTGCAGATTACCCGCTACCTAAACGGCCATGTGCAGCAGTCTCGACTCGACGAGCCAACGAACAAATATAAATCGAGATGGATTCGTGACCTAGAAATGCCTAGAACTTGACATGAACAGTTTTGAGCTCGCTGTACCAACTGAAACATATCAAACACAAGGTCCCAGCGCAGGCTGCGCAAACAAAAAAGCAAGTGGGACAGGCCGGGACCAACAAGGGGTGTGGTACGCCTGCGCAGAAGCACCGAGTGTATCATTCTGCTATTCTTACTTCTGTTAGCGTTATAATCAGGACGATCTTTGCGACCAACAGTGACTTCTCACACCTGTGAATTTGCTATTGCCAGGGCAAAGCCTTCAAATAATTGTCAGCTGTGACCAGTGCCGTGGCTGAGATTCACTTAGGAGGTTTCGGGATCCCTGTTTTGGATTTGGGGACCTTGGGCTCAGGACCCCGTTTTCACGCATGGAGCACCGTTTCTGGAGTTTTAAATCCCTACGTGCGTCTCAAACTGCCGAAAAATGCAAGGGTCTTTGGCTCCAGGTAGACCCCACCACTTCTAGGGAACAGGGCCCCAAAGTCCCCATCCTTCAGCTTGGGCGCAAAAATTATGGGACGTAATCTGCATGATGAAGTTATTTCCTACCCAATCCCAAATCATAAGGATCAGTTGCAAATAAGACTCGTCACGGATAACTTCATCCCAGCATCTCAGTTGGTTACAGCGTCTATCCTCAGATTTACAGGCTCGTAGCGGGCTGCGCCCGAGTGGCGTTAAGGGCTCACTGCTCACCCCGAACTCGGAGGCCCGCGGACTGTTAGCAGCGGCCTTGCTAAATGTCAGGTTACGTCAGAGGACGGGGCAGACGGTGCCAAGCATCACGGCACAGGAAACTTTCATTGTGAAATGCTGCCGCTGACTAGGATTTGACGACCGGGTAGTGGTATCAAGGCTCACGCAACAAGCGCCGTTAGCGGGGCTCTGATTCCAGAAATTCACAACAACTAGGCCCGGTTTGACCAACCCAACTTCATCACGACCTAATGACGCACTGTGCTTGCAATTGTGTGCAATTCAGCAACAGTCCTCGCTAAAAGCATAGGTAGTCGACAAGCCTTCCCTAGAAACAACCTTGACTAAGAATGCCCGAACATGAAACGGACTTGGAAAACGCAAATTAGCTGCTGTCAGTCAACTTTATGCAGTTAGCCTGAACTGGCTGATATAAACAAATATTCATATCTTTCACGCAAAATGCCTCGAGCCAGCGTTGAGGCATACGCAAATTTCGGAATCCGATCGCGTTACATGTAGTGTCTGTTCCGGTGGAATGCAACAGAGAAACCTTGTGTAACTTCAATCCCTTTGTCGCAGGACCGAGCTTCCACCACAACACCCAAAGCCCGGACATGGGCTACGGGAAGCTCGCCATGCATGGGTGTATGCACTCTGTCAAAGTGCCCCTGGATCTGGGGACTTGTCGGCCATATGCATGATTTCCTTCCACTTTGAATACGGCCGCGTCGCCACGTTTGCGGAGGGCGTAAGCTGTGTCGCAATGTCCGCCGTCCTGAACACACGATCGACCCGTCTCGTTCCACGGGGTTTTGCGGACTGGCGTGAGTGCATATCTTGTTTGTCGGGACGGCTTAGCCTATTCTGGAAGCTCTGCTTGCATGTTGTCTGGCGACCAGGCGCATCACGCCACAGCCGCACACATTCCCTGAACCGGGCGCGCAACAGCCTGCCGCTCATAATGACTTGTCTGCTGATCGATACTTCCATGAACTATCCGTACTGCGTTTGTCAGTTATTTATCGTATGCATGTCCCATGCGCAGTACTTGTTTGGGGAGCCCAGAAATAAGTGCATGGTGAAAAACTTGACTGATCTCCCAACATAGTGACTATGTTGACACCGATGGCATGCATGATAGCATCAAGTCAGCTAAAATCCTTAAAAAACGCACTGCATGCTCGAGGTCTGCGATTAGTGCTAAGGGCATCACCTGTACCTGCTTACACGGCATTGCTAAACGTTACTTTTTAATGGAGGAGGAAGTTTTGGAAACCGCGTTGGATCAGTGAAATTTAGGTGTCTTATTCTGGCATGGAGAAGGCCTAAGGGGTGATCTTGCAATATTTGACATCGCTATATTCACAGATATAAGCTACCAATGGCAAATGCAATTACATTATATTTAGATTCACACTCACACTCATTCTACTCATATTTCAGCTTGGACGCTGATTTTCACCTACAAATGCACAAATCATTACCAATAGCAAATTGAAGCAAATAAGGGTGTGGTAAAACATAATAATGATGATCGTGGAAGAATGATTAATGGAGCGGAATTATGCAACTCGAATCCGCGGTTCGAGTAAGTGCCTGAACATTTTGCCTCCGCTCCCCATCTCACCACGGGCGGCTGGCCAACAGATCGGCCGCTTACTGGGTACCTAGAAACCAACCCGACAGAGATGCGGGAACGTCACCTCTAAACCAGATCGATGGCTATCTAGAAACCAACCCGACAGAGATGTGGGAACGCCACCTCTAAACCAGATCGATTGCTACCTGAAAACCAACCTGACAGAGATGCGGGAACGTCACCTCTAAACCAGATCGATGGCTATCTAGAACCCAACCCGACAGAGATGCGGGAACGTCACCTCTAAACCAGATCGATGGCTATCTAGAACCCAACCCGACAGAGATGTGGGAACGTCACCTCTAAACCAGATCGATGGCTATCTAGAAACCAACCCGACAGAGATGCGGGAACGTCACCTCTAAACCAGATCGATGGCTATCTAGAACCCAACCCGACAGAGATGCGGAACGTCACCTCTAAACCAGATCGATGGCTATCTAGAACCAACCCGACAGAGATGCGGGAACGTCACCTCTAAACCAGATCGATGGCTATCTAGAACCCAACCCGACAGAGATGTGGGAACGTCACCTCTAAACCAGATCGATTGTTCGCCCGTGCCTAATCCTTCAAAACCTTGAGGAATGCCGCTTGAGCGTACTTACGGCGAATACGTCGCTGGATGATCACCTCGAGGGCACAACAGATTCATGGAAAGCCTTCTTAGCAACTGCTGGCGAAATTCACCGCCAGCAGCACTGCCTGCCTGGAAATCGCTCTGTCCGCCAACCTTCAGGGCCTAACGCCGAATCGATAAACGATCAGCCCACACAATTCCAAGCTGGGGAAATCGTGACATCTTATGGGTCGGGCAGTTTTGAATCAATGCCGCACTCAATCAACATTTCAAAGGGTCAGAATGTCTGACGAGCGCTGTTGCACTGTGGCGATGTGTCATGATTCTTCGATCCACTACCGCCTACGCTATTTTCGTCCAGCACGGCAGATTGCGGGTTGAGTAACTTTCCATGAAACCACCGCACCGCGCCAGACAGTCCCAAACGCATACCTGGTGTCAATTTCCACTACGCTTTCCACCAAGCCCCTGCATGGTGTCGAGCATCGCCAACCCTTACTCCCGCCTCGATGTGGGCGTGTGGGCTGGTCCACATGCCAACAACCCGCCGCACCTTCTCCTCCGTGTGGCGACGCTCGCGCTCCCCAAGCCGCTGCTGCTCGGCGGCCTCGGCCTGCCGCTGCTCCTGGAACCGGCGCTGGTGCTCCCTCAGAGACTCCAGCTCTTCCTCCTCCATCACCTCCAGCAGGCTCTGCTCCACCGTCTTTCCCACCAGCACCTCCAGGATCGGCGCCGACTCCAGGTCAAAGTCGAACAGCTGTCGGCAGAGTGTGGACATAGTGTAACGGACACTCAAGCGACGGGCTCCCGGCGGACTGGCGTGAGCTTCGGAACACAAACTACACACGCCGTTCGCAGCGAAGTGCGCCTGTACTCACCATAAGACGCGGTCACGTGACCGGCGGCGGCCGACGGAGCGAGGCGGCGTCCGTCGCGGAATTCACCCAGTGTTTTGAACGCGGCGGATCAATACGGTGCCGTGCACGGGCCGCAGGCTCCGGCCGGGGGGCAGCGTCGACGTTAGCGGGCCATCAGCCGGGCGGAGCCCCGGCACGCCAGGTCCCGGCCGTCGGACGGCCACCAACGCCGCCGGCTCTGTCGCTGCGCGCCGCATCCTCCGCTGAACGTGGACGAATGTCGCATTCGCAGTTGGTGCATTTTGTGCACGTGTGCACATTTTGTGCATTTGTGCACATTTTGTTACGTTCATGCGAGGAGGATAGATTAAGTCGCTGAAATGGATGTGCACGACTGACCTATCAGTTGAGTAAGGGCGAAAAAAATATCGAGGTGCATACTCTGGCAATAAAGTTAGATACGTTGGCTTGACACCATAAGACCGGCCACCGCTGCACACCCAAGAGCAGAGGGCACCCACGGCCTTCCGCCCGCCTGTTCCCCGATCGGTGTTCGGCACCGTAGCTTCTGATAACGTGCTGATAACTTCTGATAAATACGTGCTCCTATGTCGCATAAAAAGACGCGGCCACGTTCCAGGCCCGGGCATGTCGCGCATTAGTGAGGCACATCTTAGAAAAACTATAATCCAGCGTCCTGCGCGACAGCCCTTTCCCTGAAGTGCGTGGCCCTGACACCGAGCCGATCGTTTCTGGGCTTCGACCGCCGGGCGAGGAAAGGCCGGACCGGCCGGCGAGGAGCCCGCCCGGCCGGTCGGACAGTCGTGCGTTAGTCAGGAGTACCTGCATCGGGGTGGATCGGTCGCGTCGCAAAAAGCCCGCGGGAGCCGGACATTGGAGATAAATGAGAAGCGTTCGTGCAGCAACCCGTAGCGATACGGCCGAGCTGTCTGGGCGCCTCCAGTGTCAGCACCAATCTGGTGCAGCCTCGTCACCACTAGCCTAGTGCAGCCTCGTCACCACCAGCCTGGTGCTCCCTCCATAGCACGGCCGCTGTCCATTACCAGGCCGCCGCGGTCGCTGTCAGCGGTAATTTGTGCCGCCACCCCATCAGGTCAGCTGCGCAGGTCCCCCGCCTACAAGCCATCCCTGCCCAGGGAGCGCCAAATGACGGCTGCGGACAGGCCAAGCACATGTCATGGACGCCGCAGCTTATGTTGAAAGCCTGAAAATTAGTGCCAGGAGGTTACTTCGGGTGACTGCCGAAGGACGCCTTACGTCCTCGGAGCCGTTCAACCATGAGATTCAAGGAGCGGAAAAAGTTCAACAAGGAGCGGAAGGACAGAGTGCAGACCGCAGGTGGCATCCGTTTTCGTGAATGTCCTGCATATACTCAGTAGTCAGGCGTTTGCAAAAGGCTACTCCGGCGCGCGCTGACAAGGCATGACTGTCTCAGGCGTTCAGTGCTGGCATGCGCTCGATCCATAATTGCTAGCGCAGTATAGTGGGGTGCGTGAGCGCATTTATGCATTTGTTTTTAGCACGTCCCAATTTTCTTAACTTATTATGTGGACTCGCACATTTGGCGAACAAAGTTGCGTTGGATCTGCCCCGCCCCCGCCTCTTGCCACACACGCACCCTTTCTGCAAGGACTGTTGAGCGTTCGTGCCCGTTGATATATATTCCCAACATGCGATAGCGAAAAGGCAAAGCAGGGGAAATATGCACATCCAACCGGCTATTGTGCGTGCTCACTTAGCAGCCATGACTCGGTAAGCAGTCATGAATAATTCACCGTAGACATTGCACTATTCTAGCTCAGGGTCACGTTATGCGTGACGGCACGCACACCAAAGATGGCTATCGACGCACACCGGACAATTGCGCCAGGTCATGTCGAAGCATAGTGACGCTTATTAATGCTGAATTAGGGGGACAGCCGCATGGCCATCATGGGCCATTCAGCCCCTCCTGAAGAGGTTTTCCTTGGGCAAATTAGGTCTGATAGGACAAAAGCGGCCGTGCGTTAAGGTCTCTCGAGACCTCTACGTCCCGCGGGCACTCGCATTGTACGACAAATAACACCTGGGCCTCATCGGCGTCCAGTCCGCTCTGCATGCTCAGGCTGGAGCCCTGCCTTCAGCTCTCTGACCAGCTACGCTCCGCTGGCTTTGCTGGCCACCGTGAGGCACTCAAAGATTCCGGGATATTCGGGAGACACCAGACCGTCTCTGGGCACGCCGCGCACTGAACATCACATCAGGAGCAGGGACTCGCACCACCATCGAACACTATCCGGGTTTTCGCCGAATTGGTGTCCGTCTCGCCGTCCATTCCGTGACATCGACCTCCTGGGTACCTTTGCAGGTTTCTCAGGTATCTCGACCTCCGAAAGGACCTGAACGTTATAAGGAGCCGTTCATCTGGTCTTGGGGCACCCTTTCTTCACACTTGGGCACTTAGGGCACCAATGAACCGAGGCTCGGCGAATACTATGTGTTTGTTTGTTTGCGTTTAGGACTATGTTTGGAAAGCCTGAACAAGGCTTGGAGTGCCGGTTAATAGTTTTTGTGTGGCTTGTTTGTGAGCGCCCTATCCCTGCTTTGTCGAGTCTGACCTTGAACTTGGCCTCACGCTGCACTGTAGAGCGACTCTGCACTTAGGTTCGGTGCGATTCCGTGCTTCATCTTGAAGTTCCCTTTCCACCCAGGGCCCATATAGGGCCACACAGGCCAGGTGTGCACGTCTTCTTGACCCTTTGACGTCTCATCTACCCGGGCCTGGGCACACCTCCGCATACTCTTGGAATAACTCCACACCTACAGTGCTGGCGTCCCTCCGCTTGGACTGTGGGAGAGGCTTGTACTTTTGCCTGGGGCTGGGGTGTCCCTCCACATAGTTTATGGGAGCCCTCCACCTGGATTTGGAGGCGCCTCTCCGTTAGGGCTTCGGCTACCTGCAGTTGGATTTGACGACTATCAGGTGCCTGCAATCCTGGAGCCCCGTGACTTAAAGCTGTTGTCTACTATGCTCGGGGCTCGTTGCTATCTGCGTTTAGAGGCGTTCCTCTACCACAATTTATGGACTGCTCTCCAGTAGCACTTGCCGAGCGCCTGTGCCTGGGCTTGGGTGCCTGCGTCGGTCAGTTGGGGGCGCACATCTTTTTCGGTTCGGGGACAACCCCACCCGCTGCCAGGATACTAGGGCGCTCCTGTACCAGTAGGCGAGGGGCGAATCGATGTAAAGCCTGGCGCCGAGACGCCTCACAGCTTCTTAACAGACCTAAGGCCCCATGTTTAGCTTCGGGACACAGTTTTACGTAGGATTGAAGGTGAGATTGGTGAGCATGGGACGCCACTCTACGTGGTGTTAATACCTGTTTCTGGAATGCCACCTTGAGTGAGTCAAAGGACATGCCCTGCGCTCGTACACCTTTTCTGATGACCACCTGACCAACAAGGCAGCGTGCACGGAAAGCTTGCCTACGTGGGGATGGGCTTCGCTGGCTACCGCCGTGACGGCGGCTGGCCGTCCGTTTGGCCTGCTCCGTCTTACAGGGGGACAGTGCGGCACAGTATAACCAACTGCATTGAGAACACCCGGCTGGACCGGCAGCCTGCGCTGTTCGACATGCACCCTGCCATTTAGGAGGTTTGACCTTGTGCGGACGTTGACAGAAGGCTTTGCCGCCGGCGACGGCGGTGACAAATAAGGGGAAAATCGATGTTGGCGGTGTCGCAACGGCAGGGCAGTGGCCCGACACCGGAAGCCCGTACATTCACGGGACTGGGTTCAACCGCTAACCAAACAACAGCCCATCCGCGACGTCACTCGCGCCGTTTGCACGGTCTGGAAGCTAACCGTGTCAATGCCTGCAGGCCGACCCAGCCCGGTGTACTCACGTCGCCCTCGTAGATCTGCGTAGCCACGTCGGCGCCGGTCTTGGAGGGCACGAACAGCGGCGTGCCAGGCCGGTCAATCATGGGATCCGTCTGGACGGCGACGTCGGCCTCCACGCGCCGGTCGCGGATCTGTCGGCCGGGTCATACGTGCCGGTCAGACGCGGTTCCGGCCACGGCCGCTCGACCCGGCCCGACCCGACCCCGCTCGGTTCGACCCGACCCTGTTCGACCCAGCCCGACCCGACCCTGCTCAGCTCGGCCTGACCCTGCTCGGCCCAGCTCAACCCATCCCGACCCGACCCTGCTCGGCCCGACTCGACCCGGCTCGGCTCGGCTCGGCTCGGCTCGGCTCGGCTCGGCTCGGCTCGGCTCGGCTCGGCTCGGCTCGGCTCGGCTCGGCTCGGCTCGGCTCGGCTCGGCTCGGCTCGGCTCAGCTCGGCTCGGCTCGGCTCGGCTCGGCTCGACCCGACCCGACCCGACCCGACCCGGCCCGGCTCGGCCCAGCCCGACCCGACCCGACCCTGCTCGGCCCGGCTCGACCAGGCTTGGCCCAGCTCGATCCAGCCCGACCCGACCCTGCTCGGGCCGGTTCGACTGCTGCTTGGCTCGGCTCGGCCCGGCCCGGTTCACTTCGGCTCGGGTGATGACGGAAGTGGAGACATTTACCCCAACCTTGGCCTCTACCTGGCGGGGGATCATGACGGGGACGGAGACATGGCAACACGATTGCACACGCACCGACTCGGTCCTGTCCTAGGTACCAACGGGCTTGTAGTTAAAAGTGAAGTCGTAAGGTCAAACCACATTGTAGCGTTCTGACACCAGGTCATATCTGGGGATTCATGGCGGGGCGTGTGCCCACATGAACGCTGGGTGAGTGGCAGGCGTCAGGGACGTCGCGCAAGCCTACTGAAGCCGGCTGGGACCCACGAACAGGTACTGGGTTCGGTACTGTCCAGCGCTGCACTGGACAGCATGTCGTCAAACCCAGCTCCATCAATCTTAGTGGACCACACTTTGGTGACTATGAATGCTACCCAAATATATCAGCTTGTACCGTCACTTGCCCAATTACTGAGTGAGTGGAGACATCGAATATATATGACAGCATCGTCTGACTGTAGATCAAAAGTCCCCAGCTGTGATCGCGAACATGACGCAAAACTGTGCATTTCTATGGCGGAAACGAGCGCAGCGGGTGAGGCGAGTGTTCACGCGCACCCGGTGAGGCGAGTGTTCACACGCACCCGGTTTTCTGTTCGTTCTAAAGGTTGCAAATCGCTTCCCCAGATTGTTAGGCTCTTTCGTCCTTCGAATCCTACTTCATTTTTTCACAAGGAATTTGCTTCAAGATGGAGACTTCTCGAGCATTATTTCATTGTCCTATGCACCATCACATCTCTCTGTGAAATGAGTGTGCATAGGATTTAGTGCGTATAGTGTCTAGAAGAAGAGAGTGTATATAGGATCTCTGTGGTCGCACCTCACCTACACCCCACAGACTTTTCTCTCTATGCAAGCACTCTCCTCTCTCTGTGGCTACGCCCAGTCGCTCCAGACACTCTCCTCTCTATACAGACATCCCTCTGTGGCCACACTCACCCACTCCCCACAGAGTCTCCTCTCCACACAGACGCTCCTCTCTTTCTGTTGTCACATCCAGTCACCCCATACAATCCCCTCGCTATACAGACGTTTTCATTTCTCCGTGCCCACACCCACCCACTTCCCACACTTTCTCTTCTACAGACACTCCCCTCTTTCTGTGGTCACACCCACCCACTTCCCATAGACTCTTCTCTCTGCAGACACTCCCCTCTTTCTGTGGTCACACCCACCCACTTCCCATAGACTCTTCTCTCTGCAGACACTCCCCTCTTTCTGTGATCACACCCAGCCACTCCACACAGACACTCTCCCTGCTATACACACACTCTTCTCTCTGTGTGCCCACATCCACCCACTCCCCACGGGGCAGTGCCCATACACTCTCGCCACACATTTCTGGCCGACTGCACCCACCCGTTCCCATCCGTTTGCATTTCTAAACACCTTTAGTTCTAGCTCACTGAAAAGTGCGAGACAAATTTTAATCCAAACTTACGCCTTTGCGTTGACCATAGCAAAAGTAGTGTAAATGCAGCCAGTTCTGATTAAAAGAAACACAAAAAACAACAAACGAGAGCGATAGCGACAAAGAGAGCACCAACAGCGACATGCCAGACCGGTCTATCATGAGATCCGTTTGGAATGCGACGTCGGGCCCCACGAGAGGGCGAAAGAGCGAGAGAGCAATACAGTAAGAGAGAGAGAGAAAGAGGAGAGAGAGAGAGAGAGAGAGAGAAGAGAGAGAGAGAGAATAATCGAG